ACTGTACTACAGTACCTAATATACGAATTTGACATTATTAACTTAGACTTTAGTGGCTACATTGTAGATATTACTGTTGGAATGAATTTACTTAACACCGCACGAAGTTAGATTGCTTCAAGCATGAATAGACGAGTGCAGGTAGAAATTAAAGTAGACAATAGGATACATATCAAAATATTACACAACTTACAAGGTGGAAACAAATTTAAAGAACTTGTTCTAAAGTGTGTCAAGGATCACATTGATTTGTTGATTTCATGATAAATCTATACGATTGTGATTATGTTAAAAAACTAGTTATTGATGACAACCTTCACGTAATATGGAATCTGATAAATATCTGCATATGAAATTTTTGTATTTTAGGAAGAATAAGGTTTTACAGAGATTTTCATTGTCACGCCTTAAACTTTGTATTGGTTTAATTTTAAGTTTTCTATAATGTTATAAAATAAATAAAATACAGCGAATGTAAACCGTAAGAAGTGGTCACTAAAATCTCTGTGAATGTAATATAGCATCTATAAACCAAATGTGATTACGCCTATTGGCTCCCGTGCGGATGAAGTCATCTCGTTATCTATTCCCACGAGAGAACTGTTAGGGTCTAGACAATTTAGGTACATAGATATAAAAGTAGTTCTTTATTTTCAAAAGAATAAATATTACTACTACTTAATATCGGTAAATACAAATAATACTTACTTTAAGTATTATTTTAATACCACGTGACAGGTAACTAAGTTACAAAATCGTCTACCGTGTCTGTGGTTTTGTACAACTTGTCTGTCGCGAACTGTATCTAATTGGAAGAGTTTTGTGTGACGCAGCAAGAATGCGATGTGATTCGTTTTTAAAGTATAGCTACAATATTTCAGTGCAATCACTGTTTTTTTTTTGTAAAACATCTTTACAATAATAAATATTCATATATAATTCAATTTTTTATAGCATTGGCACAAGTTCGAAATAGAGTTAATATATTTATGTACCTATCGACATAATCTATCGATGCTTAGCAACATGGCTGAATAGCGTGGCAAGCAGGTGTTTATTTTACCTATGCGGTAAAACAGAGGCATTTGTCCAAATATAATCAATGCTATCGATTAGTATGTCATGGTTAATTAATTAGAGAAATGACAATCCTGTAGTAACAGAATATTTTGTAAAATATTTTTTACCAATTATATCCAATATTGATGAAGACAAGGAGTGTGACTAGTTTTCTATTGTATTAGAGTTGTCGAAATTATTAATATTATACTCTACTTATAATATGACATAATCTTATCCCTACCGGGACGGTTCTCACAAAGTCCCGTAGCCAAAATTAATACTAATCCTCCTCATAGGACTCAACGCGATATTTGAAAAAGTAATCTATGACCATCTCTACCTGTTATATGGCACCTATACGAAAATTCATGAGAAATTCAGTAAAAGCGTAAACAAACAACTTATCAGTTTAAAATCGTTTAATGGTACGTGTGTAGGTCATTCTACATATATACGCGTAGACGTTCTACGCTGCGCCGCCGCGCCGCCGCGCCGCTACGAGACAGGGTTGACTATATCGATATAGGATAGCTTTAAAAAAATTAAAATGCACTATTAACATAAATAATTATCTTAAATATACGATAGAAAATTATAAAAAGCAATGTATATTTTTTTTATCTGTAGGATCATGGCGTAAATATTGAAATACTTAATTTCAATGCACGATGCAACCTGTTATTGTTCATACTAAATTTACCAACACTACACGATTACTATAATTTTGAGCAACATTGTAATACTGTTATTTAAACTGAATAAACAAAGTATTGACTATTTGCCAGAATATGACTACGGGCACTTAATTTTGTGCAATAACAAACTTTATCGTACTGTCGTAGTTGTCCTACTAATATCATAAATGCGACAGTAAGTCTGTACGTCCATCAGTCGCTCTTTCAAGCTAAATTACTGAACCGATTTAAATAAAATTTTGTACACAGATTGATAAGTCTAGACCCTGAAAAAAGACAAGCTACGTTTTAATCCAAAAAAAGGATTGTAAGGGGTTCAAACAACACATGGTTGTATGGAAGTATCATAATTTTAAAGCTTGTATGTAGCTTGACACATTTTAGGCTGTTAAGTAAATATAAATAAGTATGACATTCAAGTTTGTAAAATTTTTACCCTTAAAATAAAATAGGGCATGAAAGTTCGTGATACTTTAATGTACAATAATTACGTTCTTAATTCAGAATTTTATTAAACAGAAGCTATCTTTAATCTAAAAAGCTACACGACATCGCTAGTTAGCGACACGGGTGTTATATTAATATATATTCTGTATAGTATTACTACTAAAACTTTATCTAAATCAATATGTATTATTAGTAGGTACCAAAGAATAATTTCTTTACACTTATTTTATACATTGATCTTAACTGCTTATTATACTGTACCTAATAGTGTCTACAGGTCTATTTTGATTTAAGCATATTATTCTATGACCCAACTATTTTATTTATTTCTTTTTAATTTATTCATTTGAAATTACAAAACATCTTTATGTATCTATGTGTACGTCATGTCAAAATGACAATGAACGAAAACGTTACTTTGAAAGAATACCAACGACCGACGTATGTACCTACTTTAGTAGTAATGACGTCTTGTCAACGCATTTACTTGGCTTCCTTCTGTTTACGCCAGTTTTTATATATATTATCTGCATATATCATACAATAATGTATATACATAACAGACACTAAAACTGATTTATCAGAGCGGGGGCAAACATTGTGATAACAAGAAAAAAAATCCAATTAATTTTCTAAAAGTAAATGATTTAGTGTAAAATACTGGAGGGAAAGAGTGATTACGCTCAAGTGATTATAGAAATTAGTATCAGTATAAAATCTATGTTGCTTATTGTTTTTAATTATATGTTTTAGCCAACATATGAGGCACTTTTAGTTTACATTAGATAAACAGTAAAAATAAATCATAAAACAAATGTATAAATTACCTATTATATTTTTTGTGCAATCGTCTTTTATATATACAGAACGGGGAATAGATAATAATTTATTTTATGAAATGGTTGTAATTTGTTAGATAATCGATTACTATTATTATTATTGACCTATAATACCTACTGACTTTCAATGCTTTCGCCCACCTCTGTGTAAGCAATTATAAATTTGTTCCACTCGCCATCTTTTTAACGCAGCCTTTTACGAAGCCCTGTAAGTCTGTCCTTATCGCACTAGGCGAACTTGCCACAATAAAAAGTTATTTTTAACTTGTGGGCTTGTTCTAGCAACAACGCTCGGAAAACCTTTTTGTTCAGCCAAACTTTAGTAATATAAACATAAAAGAACATTAGAAGCTAAAATATTTTAGAAAAAATAAAATGCAATATGTTACTTAACCATTCGGGGCTTATATATGTATTTTAAATGTGTTGTATATATGTTATTACTAGGGAATTAAATTCATTCTTGAAACAAACAATATCAACAATCTCTAGAATTAATCATTTATAATATCAATTTAATATTAATTTAAGATAAAATTTAAGGAAATATTAGTACCACTACGCTCTGCTCGTTCACAATTATGACGGATGATCAAAATCACACAGCCTTATTATATAAATCCATATTAACTAAACTTAACCAATCCATAGTAACGTACCAGGTGGAGGCAAATTGTAAGGAGCTCTTTCGCCAAGGACCACAACGATACCATATCACAAAATATACCATCATGAAAGCCACGACTACTCTGCCAAGAGTGAACGACTGAAGAAGAATATTAACTTAAACTACTGACTTTACATTTACAAGCCAATACTTGTATATTTTAGCGAAAATGACTTACTCAATACTATACTACAACTACGTTTCCTCTACTACGTGACAGTCATAGTATTTATTAATTGCACAACAAAGTAGCATACAGTAGATAAGCTGTTTGCTCAGGATAATTGTAAATGAAATTGCTTAAAAAAATATCAAACAAAAAAACATTTTATAAACTTTATATTCCTGCAAAAAGTTAAAACGAAGTATCTAAGTAATTTAAATGATAGTATTTTTAAGTAAGTACGCAATATACCAGTTTATTATCTTTATATCAGCCATTAGTAAAATTCCGAGACTGGTTAATCATACTCTATATAAAAGGGAAATGTAATAATGTAAATTTCGGGACTGACATTAAAACTTACCTCTCAATTGTATCTATCCAAACGTTAATAAGAATTCAATTATATTCAACTAAATATAGCTAGACAATGACCTGGTATGTAGTATATAAATCATCACAATATATTTGACTTTTTGAAAAACACAAACATTACAAATAAGTTATTCGCAAATATTTAAGTTCAATATCATAAAGTATGAGAATAAATTGTTGGTATGGCGAAGAACGGGTGCTTGCTGGTATTTGGAATAGAGCCAGAATCATAAAGAACAGCGGAGTTCGTGTGTTATGGGCGCGCCGTCCTAAATTTCATGCCCAAAGTTATTAAATATTTATTGAAGAGCACCCAGTTAACCTACTTATTATAGTGACGCTTGAATAGCAACTTAGATTTGTCGTCTTATCCTTACTAGTCTGTAAGCTAATATTTAAACGTCTTTTAACGCTATTCTGCTGAACGATCGAAGCTACCTATTGGCGTGAAAACAACTCAAAATAACAAACTCGATCGCGAGATCAAAATCGCTTAGATATTCGTAATCAATCCATAACCTATTACCACATAATTGCTTAGCTTTCAAACATATTGTTTAAAATAAAATATCTTAATTTTTAAAATCAACCAAGCTTAATTATTTCATAAACGAATATGATATTAGAGACCTTTCAATTGATTGTAAATTGTATTTACAAAACTGTTTTTGTTTGAGTAAATAAATCTTCTGTCCGTACATTATTTTATTTCCATTTTATATACACTGATTAATGTACTTATTTTGTTACAGCTGTAAGGGCGGATCGCATGCGAGGTGGGCGCAACAAATTCGGCCCCATGTACAAACGTGATCGAGCTCGTAAGCTGCAAATGATGCGACAGCGACAGATAGCTGTGCAAACTTTGCGCGGTTCGCTTGGTGATGGCGGCTTGGTGCTCGGATTCACATCGCCATATGCCGCAGTGCCCGTGAAACAAGAGATTCAAATCCCACAAGTGTCGTCATTAACATCGTCTCCTGAGTCGTCGCCGGGGCCTGCACTGCTGGCTGCTCAGCCGCCGCAGCCCCAACCACCGCCGCCACCTGCTCATGATAAATGGGAGGCGCATTCACCGCATTCAGCATCGCCAGACGCCTTCGCATTTGACGCGCCGGCCACCACAGCTGCTACACCATCCAGCACAGCAGAGCCCACCAGCACTGAAACCCTCCGACTCTCACCTATGATTCGCGAATTTGTTCAAACTATCGATGATCGCGAGTGGCAGAATTCACTGTACGGACTCTTGCAGAGCCAAACCTACAATCAGTGCGAGGTTGATCTCTTCGAGTTAATGTGTAAAGTGCTGGACCAAAACTTGTTCTCTCAAGTGGATTGGGCGAGAAACACCGTGTTCTTTAAGTATCTAAAGGTGAATTTTCAGATAAGTATAAGATCCTATCCCAGATCCCTAAAACCTTATCCTGGTGTACACCAACTTTGCTGGCGAATGTACGCATTGCGCTGCTTTGCGATGTTTGTTCTTTGGGGTTGACAATAATGAGGCTTTGCGATTGTTTGTATAGTTCTGTACGTGCAGACAGTAGTTAGGATATAGTTGTGTGAGTAGGGGCGCGTGTGACGCAGCAGGCGACACGGTACTGCTCGCAATCGATACACCGCACCGCCCGCGCCGCGGCACACCAACTGGGTCAAGTTCCCACGACAAGCGCGCCGAATGCCGCTGCCGCGATGTCGATGTTCCTCGTCACTATTCTATTCTGTGTGAACTTACACGAACACACATACTGGACGCGACTGGTCTATTACGTAAGCAGTTTAATGGACGGTGTTAAGACATTGAAACTAGGTTTACAGAGTTATTCCGAAACATATAGTATTCTAAAATAAAAATTTACAACGAACTTATTTTCGATGAGACGTTACTTATACATTACATATATTCGAAAGCTTAATTAAAATAAACAAATATAGATGACCTGTCTTTTATTAATGAGAGTATGGATGTCGTCTAGTAGGCAATTAGGTGTCGAGCGGGAGTTCAATCAATCAGTAAGAGTCAATCTACTAGGAACGGGAGCAGCTTTGACGGCGGTCGCCGCAGCGTGGTCGTCGTACATTTACGCAAGACCCGCAACCGGTCACGTGGGCGCGCAACGTTGCCACATTGATCTCACGCTTCGTCTCTTTCTCGCGGACAGCCTCCGCTCCGCAGCTAGCAATTTTTGTTTGTACTGAAATGACGCAGCTTAGTTACGGCCCATTCTTAGAATTAGGACAGCGTTGAGATGATTCTATGTCGTATACCTACGTATTTTCCGGAAATATTGACCATTGATAACAACAAGATATTTGGGTTTTTATGAAACATTTCTAGTATTATTAAATCATGAAGAGGATATCCAAGAAGTTCCACGTTATTTTTACGTATAAGGATCTATTTTACATTCATTTATTACTGTTGTTATTATACTAAAACAGATTACGCTTGACTGATTGAGATGTTGATGACCTACGCTTTCTCCAGACGGATGTGATGTAACGGTTTAGTGTGCGGGACGGCAACGCTGCACTTTCGTCGGCGCACTTGACACAGTGCCCGTGGCCGAGTTGCCGCGAGAAAGTACTTTTTACCTCGGCGCGTAACCGCCGGTAACGGAGACGTAACGAGTTATGCGATCTTTCTTCGCTTTCTATTACGTAATTTCGTGCTATTAGTCATACAATGACATGATGAACTTGAACGGTTGATGACGTCGTTTTGTCACGTCAATATATCTATATCTAGTGTATATATATATATATATATAATATAGGTACATTGTTTGGTAAAATGTAGGTACATTGTCAATTTGTAATATGTAATGTTCAGGTAGTTGATCATCATAGTAGTTATATTAATTTGTACAAATTCAATTGTTCCGGTATTCTTTGGACTTTGTTTCCCCTCATTTTAGCTACACCACTGTCGCATTCGCTATTTATTTTAATTAGTTGACGTTACCAACTGTAATTTTTATTTCGTAATGTATATTACATTGATTATATATCTATATCTTGCAAACGATAAAGATGGTAGTTTAGTGTAGACAATATCAATTCTGTTGGAACACATGGTGAGGGCAATTATTTTTGTCTCGCATGTCTCATTGTGTCTGTGGTTTTGTCGATTTCTTTTGTCTTTATATGCGGACAATAATTAAGATACAATTGGCACAATAGTAATAGTCAGGGAATTATGTTCTTCTTGCATAAACATTGATTGACCATACATTGAAAGACTTATATTCATCTTTAATTGGACATTGTAGGGTCTAACTGATATAAACTAATTAATTTCGGTTATATACTGAAAAAAACACAACAAAAATTTGGTAATATTATGCTTAAGAGACGTTGGCATTTTAACAACTTTGCAACTTGCAACTGAGCAATATGTTATGAATACCAGAAGTTGTGGCCGATCATTAGAAATATTGAAGTCACTCTTTTCGTTCATAATTTGTCAGTTACTATAACATTAGAATTTTATTAACGTTATCATAGTTATATAACGGCAACTATCAAATAAATTCTATAAACTTCCTGTTGTGCAAGTTTTCAGGCACGCCGCATTTCGAGGCGACTTTGACCTACTTTACTCGCTACCTAGTACCGACAACTCCAGCCAAGATGGCCGCCCAAAGGGAATGCTATCCGTCGTAAACGTCTGAAAAGGTCACATATCTCACCGCTGCTCAACGTTCCTTTCCCTACTTTATGACACTAGTAATAAAAACTATATTTGCTCTCGTTTTTACCGAGTTGGTGGGCAGTCGTTGATATTATTAGGATTGATATTCTCGACCGTGACGACTTACAGCAATGAAAAGCAACGATGTTCCTTTGAGGGAAATCAGATTTGTATTAAAATATAATATTACGGATAATGAACTACAACTAATAAAATACTACAAAAGAATGTAAATTCATTGTATATAGTGTATTAGCGAGTTACATTTGTATATAACAATATCGAAATATCTTATTAACAGAACATACAAAATCTCTGTTGAATATCTAAAATGAGAATCTAGAAATGAATGATCGGTCTGATAGATATGGTTCGGTACTGATTTCATCGGACCGATCTCGATTCATCGCGTTGAGCAAGCAGTATGCGGTGTAGCAATAACTCGGAGCTCTAAAATTCAGTTGTAACATTTCGTAAACGGCAAATTTAACGCGCTCGCGTACCGCCCCATGTTTTCTAATGCAACTCAATAAAATGTAGGTCACGAAACGACGCCGCGAGTCAGTCGAAACTTGTCCGATAGCAATAGGGTTAGAAGCGTACGTGTATTCTCAAACGTTAACATGTAGTCCAAAATTACCTAAAATATTCTTTATTAGGTCAACGTCACACGCTCTACTATCACACAATTATTATCAGAGCCATACATTTTGCCGTTATAAAATTTAAATAAATATAAAGCACACAAGAAATAAACACGAGTTTCTTGAATAATGAGGCAGTTACCCTGTGAATTTGTTAACAAATATAGCAAGCAACTAATGGCGAACTTTAACCAAGGAGCAAATAGCAATAACTGCTTCATTACTCGCCTCGTGTTTTGTATGACGGCAAAATAATCCCTCCTTTCAAAAACGCTGCTATAAATTACCGAATTATATATACACTGCACGTGTAGAAATATGTTTGTCCTTTGTTTCAGGTTGATGACCAAATGAAGTTATTGCAATATTCGTGGTCAGACATGCTGGTTTTAGATCATCTTCACCAGAGAATGCACAATGGGTTGCCTGATGAAACAACACTACACAACGGACAGAAGTTTGACTTACTATGTCTCGGCCTCCTTGGCGTCCCGACTTTAGCTGATCATTTCAATGAGCTCCAGCATAAACTAGCTGAACTCAAGTTTGACGTACCGGACTACATCTGCGTTAAATTCTTGCTTCTTCTTAATCCTGGTCAGTATTGATATGATAATCTTTATTTATACTTATTAAATATTATGTCCTTATGCCTCTGTTGCGAATGATTTTCATGTATATTATTTACTGCTTTTCATTTTTTGTTTCCGATGTAATATTTTATAATAATTATATGCAAACTGATTCAGAAATGACAACCTACTTTGTGTTTGTTTTGATGATTCTCTTGGGGTTTCAGAGGTGAGGGGCATCGTTAACGTGAAGTGCGTCAGAGATGGCTATCAGACGGTGCAGGCGGCACTTCTTGACTACACACTCACCTGTTACCCTACGATACAGGTAAGTGTAGTATCAGTTTATAGAAACTATAATCACACTTTATAATTCATATATGAAATTTTGGCAGTTGTATCTTTAACATGCTCTCTAGTACTAATCAAAATAGTCGATACAGCTATTGTCAATAGAGCTCTGTTAATTTAATCAACTAGCATTCTGTCAATGTCTGATATACTAAGTTCGAAATTAATACAAATGCATAATATGAATATAAATGTATGAATAGGCAAAGTTATATCCCCGAAACTACCTGACTTTAGACACATTTTGGATACTCTAGGTATCCAAAATGTGTCTAAAGTCAGGTAGTTTTGGATAAACATTATTCCATAACAGTAGGTCTAAAAGTGGACGTAATGACAATCTATAATAATGATCAACAAATGTCACACTTATAACGACCGTAGTTGCAGTTTACCGATTGAAACACAACTTGAAGTTGACAACGAATGTCTCATGTCTATCTATTGTTAGACTGGGTAAATCTAACCTCCACCGATAAGTATGCCGATGTTTATGGGGGAATGTAGAGCAGTATATAATGAACGTGTGAATCGACCCCTTGCTTTCAATTTTAGAAAATGATGACAGTTGTATGTCATCATAGGATAAATACAACAAAAAAACTTTGACCTTCCAACTCGCTTAATTGGGTCTAGTTGCAATAAAATAGCTATATGTACATTGTGTTTTGCCATGTCTATAGGGGTTGGTCAATTATTTGCCGTGTAAAGTATATTGAAATTATTTGTAACATTTGGGGTGTAATTTCCAGGATAAATTCGGCAAACTTGTGCAAGTAGTGCCGGAAATTCATGCGCTGGCTGCGCGAGGCGAGGAACATCTGTACCAGCGGCATTGTGCAGGCCTAGCGCCCAGTCAAACACTTCTCATGGAAATGCTGCATGCTAAGCGCAAGTGAGTACCAGTAGACTTATATATTTGTCTATAAACACGAACATGGAATATATTTATTTTATGTACTACTCCATAATCACAATAATTCAACATATTATGTGTATTTAACAACACTCAATTCTATTCAAAGTTATATACTTAGATAAAAATGGAATAATGTGTCTGGTTCTAGGCCGAACGGAGGCGAAATGGTTAACCGGAGTGCTGAACACACGTCAACTCTAGACCGATTGTACGTTACTCTGTATATATGCATTTATTCTTATAATCATAACACAGAAATCATCCTATTATTTCAACATAATTATATTTATTTTGTTACTAAGCTCCATAGAGTTGCCAGTATAACACCAATATTGTATTCAGACATTTACACGCGGTAGCGTCATTATATTGCATAATATATTTATTTTGATAAATTATAAATAAATATTTACACTCCGTATATTGAACACTATACATATTACCACAAGTAGATGATTAAATCTGGCAGCTCTAGGTTTGTTTCACAACGCATTGCAGCGTTATCATTTGGTGCACTGTTACTATTCTTTCATATGCTTTTCAAAGTTTTGGTATTATTTTATTCATTTTGATGCACTAAAGTTTATGTATTTTTAAGATATCGTTAATATAATTATTAACATATAAGCACATTTTCATGGGGAATTCACCCGTTTATATATATGATGTTAATTTGAAGAAGTTTTTTAGCAACAGGCGTAACACGTCGTACTGGCAATTACAGTAGGTTGGATATTTTTGCCAAACGTGTACTCTAAAGTTAACCAACCCGTTTTAAATTGGTTGCTTAACAAAAGTTAAAAATAATTAGCAGATAACAAACATAATTAGATAGTCTTTTAGAGTCTGGTAGTTAAGTAGTTAGCTTGAATTGGTAAGATTTCCTAATTGCCTAATTTGTCGAATGTAGGGCAGATTCTAAAGAGACCTATAAATAATTGCAATCTAGTATTGCATCTCGATGTTCGAGGATGAAATGTAGTAACAACTACGTTGTTTTTTAAATATTCGAAATTCATAAGTAGAGCGTTGTAAAGTAAAAATGAGGTATTTAATACGTTAATTGTAGCTAGTGTAGCCGAATTTATTTGTAATAAACGTAGCATCAAGTGAACTACCGTAGTCTATACATGAAATAATATTACTCTATTGCAATTATTTCCCATTCATTGCTCTCATTATCGCATGCATACTGTATTTTGTATATAATACCGAGACTCGTAAAATTCTAAGAATTCATTCATTTTCAGACATAAAATGTTATCGTTATGTTAATTTATTTCTCAATATGGAGTTTTTTCCTAATAAATAATAGACTTGTGAAATATCATAGTACATGCAGTAATACATTATGCACGAGAAAGTTACAGTTTGAACAATTGTCTCCGCGGGATCCCTCATTCAATATTTTCATTACACATATTTTGTGGGTCTGTAAACCATTGCAGTTGTATACCGCTAGTATACAACTGGAATGGTCATTAAGCAAAATATAGAAATAGCTTTTAATTATGATGTATTTAAAGAGATTTATATGCGTCATAATATCGCGCCCTCTGTGTCACCCCACCTTCCGATCCAGTACATTCAATAAATCTTCTCTGACCCTTTTAAGTAGGACAACGTGTAACTTAAAATATATTCTTATTATAGACGTTTTTATTTGTAAGTGCTTTATTCGCATAGTATTTGAAAAGGGACTTATTTCCTTTATTGAGAAGAACTTATTCCCGGTCAATCAAATTATCCTGGTCACGAGGAAACGGTTGCGGGTACAAAATTAACAGGGTGTAATAATACAATCCGTCAAACAATTGAAGTAAAGAAACTAATCACAATAATAATAAAGATATCATACAATAGAAACATATCAGATAACAATCAAAGTGACCCAATTTTGTAGCGATAACGATTTTTGTTCTTACTATGTATAATCCGATAGTAGAAATATACGTTGTACGTCATATGGGTACTTTAAATGTTCGTCGCTTACTGTATTTCATATCTTCTCATTGAATTGGGAAATTAGGTTACATTAGATAAGATATCGCAAAAACTTAGAACGAAAAATTATCAATACATAACTACCTAGGTTTATCAATCGCGTTAACAACAGAAAGGTCGTAAAATTCTCAGAAAAGTGTTTGCAATGATTTTTTTAAATTAATTAAAGCCAGACGAAACATTTGTGGATATAGAATACATACAAAAACTAATTTTCTCTTATTAATTTCATTAATGAGGTTACTTTATTTCTGTTGTTAGATTTTATTTTTCTCTGGGATAATGTATCGTCGTGTATATAAAAAGATTCCTACGAATAGGCCTATTGGTATATTATTGTATGAAAGTTTAATTGCCACATCAATCAATATTTCTCGTCTACTTCACAAAATTTAGAGATAGTTTTTCGATACATTGTAAAATAAATGTATCACAAGTTGAATTTGTAGTATTTGAAACTTGTAGGTGAAAATTAATAAATATTATTGCACCCTATTTGATGATGATATAAAAATTTCAAATTTTAACAATGTTGAGAGAGGTTGCGTAAGGCTTATTAGCGGCCAGCAACTTAAATATTCTGAATGCTTATAATCGTAAACAGAACGATTATATTATAAAATTATGACCACGACGTAAAATTGTAAAATTATATCTTGATATTATGATTTGTCCGGCGTAATTGTCAATATTCTCATCGAATTAGCTAAGCAGTGTATTGATTCTATTTAATAGGAAGATTTACGTTCCAGACCGGTGAAATACGGTTTTACTACTAGTTCTGCGATACTGCTACTACGATATCTTCCGTTTAACGATTTTCTTAATGAAAGGTTCTTATTCTTTACCGTGGTGGTAGAATATTATACTCAATACTTTATTGCATTTCGTTGTTTGTACTAATTTATTTAAAGTAATATTTGTTTAATATATTTATTGCAATATTAAATATCTATTAATTATTTATATCTACTATAATAAAAATTACTTAATGATCTCGTATTACTAAATTTGGCATTCATAGTTTATGATATCGTAGATAATTTTTAAATATGAGGTAACAACAGTTTAACTATGTATCGAGATGACATACAATAAAAATACTGTCCTCAGTGAAAATATTCGCTGCTCCAGTTATCTCTTTTGCGTTGTTTATCTGTAATATGTTTCCATATTTCTTGATAATTTTATATGTAAATTTAATGAATGCTCGGATTGAAGTTAAATATATAATTTTATATCACAAAATCACGGTGCCTTAACGGCTCAACGAATTTTAGGTAAATTTGTTATACCTACACGTATCATACTATTTGAGATAGAGGAATATTATATATTTTTTATCTTGCCGGACAAATTAGCGAGTAAAATGTTTGGGATCTCTCATACAATTCGTAAGAAATAAAATTCGACGTCACTTTATTCTCAACAAAACTGTTTGCCCTATGGCACATTGACCGTAATGAATAATACTAGCGACAGAATAACACCATAAAATGTTAAACTTTAACTCGCGGCACCCCGTTGACAGTGAGCATCTTTATTTTCCAGAAAGAGACCTATACAGATAAATCTGAGTAGGTATATTTAAAATTGTTATATTTTCCTTTGTGGCGTTACTTCATCGGGTTTCACTATCGACATTTATAACAATAATAGAATTAGTATTTTTTGTAAGGATTTCAATATTGGTCAAGATGTTTACAACGTAGGTAGCCTATACAAACTTTTCTCACATCCACCATCCACAATTTAAATCTTGTTCTGAAATTTAATTACATATGTAATTGATAATTATTTAACTAAGGAGTTATTTATAGCCTAAAAGATGGGGCTAATGTGAGGTGGCGTTGGCATCGTATTGTCTACTGCGTATGTGTACTAAGGGTGTAATCTGTGTGGCAGGTGCGGCTTCCTGCCAAGCGACACGATTGAGCCGCATTCGCCAATATAGAGTAAGCATATATTTAAGCGCTGTATTTTGAGACCACTAGCTGCCACTTGCACATTTTCCTATTTTTGCTAAACTTCATATGGCACTATCACTTTGCTACTTATAAATCTTGGTCTGCGAACAATTGACCTTCTATAATTACACATGGCACTATTCATTTATAACTGTTACTTATTTATTGCCAACACTATTAACTGAAGAATGCGGCTTGATCATTTTCTATCCTAATATTAAAGAGTTTATTTTTCTAATCAAAATTAATGTAACATTTTTAACTGTATCACACTTTATTCGCTATTATATAATATAATAGTATGAATTTAATGTCATGATCACAGACTTGCGCCTTTTTCTCTTTTGAATAAGCAGTGACTATAGAACGCCACCTGCTTCTATATCGCGCACTTTCTTTGCTTACTTTATATTTATTCACGCTCGTATGCACCGCTCAATATTGGTCTGTTAATAGGTTTTCCTTGGTTATCAATGTGCGTCAAGTATGTAAATAATAATCGCCGTTTTTTCTGTTTTTTATTGTATATACCAGCGACATTTGCTAAATTGTGTTTAGATCTAAAGAGTATGAGGGCCAAACTTTAGTCACGGGGAGTAATAATTAATGGATATATTATATTATAATATAATTATTTTTATTTGTGTTAATCTTGTCTATAATTATTTTTCAAAATCGTCGTCTTTATGACCTCAACCACATTAGACGTATAAAATAAAATAAATACAAATCTTATGTACAGATTGATTAGGAAGAAATCCATGGTCGAATTTATATTCTGCTAAAATGATTTAAACTATGTGAATAAATTATTTATAATTTTATAAGTATACCTCGATTAGATATATTCTACTATGTTACTACTGAATGAAATAATGAATATAGCTATATTTATACAGACAGACCAGGCAGACGTTGTTTTGCTCGATCATTATTATTCGAAATAAAAAACAACCGAGGGTAATTTAGTTACTTAACACTCGCTTGTTTTTAAAGATAGGATATTTGGCTTTCCGTTGAATAGAAACTATCCTATCTTTTAATTTCGACTAAATTATAAACAATTGGCCAAATTTCATAGTAATTGGTTAAGTAGTCGATGTTTACCATAGACAAATATTATGACATGAAGATTTTATATCTATTCTTAAAAAAATAATTATCTATTTTAGGCTCGCACTATTTCTCGTTTAGTATATTAATGTGATTAACAGTGCAATGTGTGAATATATGTCTTATGTAATTACATACACACGATACGATTTATTCTTGTTCTGTTTCCATGAACGCTGCCCCTGGTTATGCTAAACAATTGCGTTAGTATTAATTTAATACCTTGCTGTAATATTGTACGTGCACGGATCTCTATTCTAAACTTCTATTTGCTTTTCTATGAATCTGTTCACATTATAGTCGATGCTTTCTTCGTCAGAAGTATTGCTCATGGGAATACATGAGCTTGTGTCTAATATTTATTGGACATGTCAATGGACATTAAATCAGATTATAATGTGCGCAGGTTATAAAAATACAACTATTGTAACTTGTTCTGGTTGATCTAATCTGACAGTATACATTGTGCTAACCATTGTTCTAATAACCTAATCATCCAATACGAGGACATTTAATAACCAGTTCCTATGTTTAATATACAGGAATATATTATACATAGGAATATATTTTCTATGATTTTAAGTTTGAGTTTTAATTGTTGGGTGTTTATTAGTTATGATTTACGTTTACTACTACTCGTACATTTCCAGTTGTAAATAAATTTTGCATAAATGTTTAATGTATAGTATTTTTTGTAATGGCTTTTTACTATGTTAATTATTTATTTGAAATATCAACCTGTTGCAAATGACGTTTCTATTTTGGTTTCAATGCTCGTATGCATGGAAGGTGTTCGTGTGTCAATTGCAAATATAATCGTTGTCCATGTTTCTGTCGACAGATCTTGAAGTCCCAGTGAAGAATAGAGGTGGAGAGTGATGTTGCGCCAAGCGCCCCCGGCACCACGAATAGTATATTTTACAACAAATATTACTTATTAATTAGCTTTAGTTTTAACTTGGTGTGTGATTAAATTTAATAAGTTATTGATTTCGCCGAGCGCCGGCCGGCGGTGCCGTGCGTGCCTAGTCCGAATACAGATATAAAACAAATATTTATCTACCTAATATCTGTAACATAAATATACAAAAATATTATACACCAGTCTTGTGTAGCTACGGTTAATTTATTTAGCAATCTACATTGTTTAACTTCAAAATTTATTAAGTACATATAAACTAGGTTCTCTTTATCTCCGGTGCGTTAGCGAAGAGAAATATTATATTACAATTCATATTTTAGGAAAGCGTCTGTGATTATAAACGAAGAAATTTGATGAAAACCGTTTTTAATGTTAGTTGAGATGAACATAATGTATAATAATTTAGTTATATTCCTATAGCTACGCATGTTGCGGGCTCGTTGACACCGCAAGTCTGGCACCTACGAAGCCCGCTTTTCGTGTTCGTTACACATAATATGTAAACAATGTTACTTGTTCATTTCAAGACTTTACATTGAAGCACTTTAAAATATTATTAACTATCTCACTGATATATTTCTCGAGGGACTTGTTTAATAATAATAATAGCTTATCTATCCCAGCGGTATGTGAGGATGTGGACCTTTTATTGGTTCCTGTGTGTGACAAGTTGCGAATGGTGCGCGTAGTTATTGGCTTCAAAAATGTTACAGATTTTATCGAGAGTTGATAGAAATAATAAATTGTCTATGTATACATTGTAGGGTAAGACGAACAACTTATTCACAGTCATGTTTAAATTTTACAGTTGTTCTCTGAAAATGTTTATCTAAATGTTGTATTAAATTTATCAATATTATTTTTATTGGCCATACCAGTACAAATGAAATTATATCCTTGTAAATAACATTAGCACATTTTACAGTGATTTAATTCTACGTATAGTGTAATTATGTAAAATATTTCTCAACATACGTGCAAGAAGCCTTAAAAATCATAGATTTTTAAAAGATATGGGTACTAGCATCTACTGGCCAATGGCTGAAGAAAGATGATGTATTTTTATAAAACATATTGTTCTTTATTAACATATATAATATGTTAACTGAAAGTACATGATTTCGTATTTTTCTAACATAATTAAATATTGTAGGGTACGTAAACAAGTGTAATGATCAACTTTTGAAGTCGAGAAATTATTATGTATACATAATATTAAATTTAATGTTATCATTGTATGTAGTACCTACATAACGTTACAAATTTGATTTGAAAACGTTTTATTTTTGTAATTATTATCAATGTCAATTTTGTAGTAAAGTTGGAGCTCCATGCGTAAGATGCCAATTTCTAATCACATCAATCAGACATCACCTGCTACATAGCACAGAGTTATAGATTTAAAGTCTACGAATTATTTACGATTAGTTTTATATATTACCTTCACCTCCGCTGCACACTACGCAAAATAAGCTTTGAACAAATAACCACGAATCTATTTTATTGTAAATAATGTGTGATTGATTGTTTGGGACCGTATGTAGCGGTTCGTTAAAACGAATAAATACTTAACAATGTGTTGAATGGTCGGAAACTGAATCTTATGTGTTGGGCACCAATCGAACTAAACTGGGGTATGAAACTGATGATTTTAGTTAATTTATATGTGATTGACGGTTTGTGTTAAAAGTGAATGTTTATAATTATAATTAATTAATTACATATTATTATAACGTCATCACCGCACCAAGTGCGAATGTATAGTGGGCCGCATCAACGATTAGTGTATACATATATATATATATATTTACGAATGGTATTCTTTCCATTTGTTTGTCTTAGCGGCTCTTGTAGATAAGAAAACTAATGATTTGTTACAAAATTGTGGCACCGCGTTTTGTCTATAATACCGTCCAGTGAGCACAGTAATTTTATTATCATGACATTAAAAATTTAATTGTATATATTATTATTTTGGAATAAATTGCAATTATAAACAGTCATATATGATTGATTGATATTGTTCGGTCGATGGGCCATAGACGTACCTAATAATTACTAGGAAAATTACAGTTGCATTGACAATAGGAAAGATTGGTACCTGCTTTTTAAAATTGACATATTATAGTACACTTTACTTGAACAGAGTTCCTTGAAAGCATGTTGTGGTACAATTTTTAAATATACTTTAAGTATATCAACTAAAATTATTTGTATGCCGCAAATATGAATGATTTTTAAGGATAAGACTTGTCACCTTTAAAATTTTATTATCCACTTAAATCAATATAATATTATGTACACTTTTTATAACATGACGTATGATCATAACGAATAGTTACATTTAAACTCCATATCTTGTCTCATTATTTCTTAAATCATATTAAAATATAAATTTCCGCGGAGCTGCGATATCGAAAATCTTTGGATTAAAAGATATTTTGTTTATAGTTAACTAATTACTGCGTTCATTCAATACTGTTTTTTACAATGTCCTTTATTCCAAAGAGTCATTGTCATACTTCTACTGTCGTTGTCGCATTGGATTTAAATATTCTGTGTTGACATAATAATTCAATATAACAGCAACTCTGATTACCCCATCCAGGTATGCTGTCGTGAGCATAATTCGTTGGTCGTTTCTTCAATTAAAAATGTGTGACTAGTTAAAAGAGTATATGATTCGCAGCTTCACGAGTTTAGACGCTTTATGGAAGGCAAAGCTGATCTGTGATGGTACGACATAGTTAGGTACATTAGGCTGTGTGGGTCTTACTTGTCCGTATTGTAGGGCACAACGACGATAAATTGTGACAATTTGTTTTAGAGATCACCTTTTTCCACTACAGCTTAGCATTATTTTTGAATCGTATTCGAGGTTTTTATTAGTCATACCTTTTTAGAATTCAGAGTTAGTTCACATACCTCGATATAATTCCTTTTATTAGTTTTGTGCATATGTTTTACCAAACAAACGTTACCATTTTTGCAGTATTTTATAAATCAGATTTTAAAATAATAATTCACTTTTTTTATATAAAATACTAGACAGTATTATTATATAATTAATATACACCTTATCAATTTTCACTCTTCTAATAAAAGGAAATGCTGTATTTTGCCCTTATAAATGTTACTAGTACAGAACAAGATGTGTTTTATCTAATATTAAATGTACTCAGGGTATAAGATAAAATATGTACCTATGTATTATATGTATCATATATAGGTATAAGTCTATTTTAACAACCACGTTTTCATTAAGTACATTTAATTTTATGTTATTTGCAATTATTTTAATCGTTATTTATATACCATAATAATCATGTTATATTTTATATGAAATACCGTGTTTAATAATCTATTTCTGCGATATACTTGAAAAAAGTAATTATCTTAACAATGGGCTTAGATCTGTTGAGTGGTTGCAGAGTGGTGTCATCGTGTGCCATTAGATGAGTGTTGGTACAGGGTTATAGCAGTGGGCGGCGTCGGTGCAGCCGGCCGCCTACCCACCGACCCATCGAATACAATAAATACTTCAGTTTAGCGCGATATTACAAGTTCTATTACTTGCAAACACAGCAACAAACTTAGACAATAAACGTTTGTTAAGGTGCCAGTGTTCGTAGTTAACTTTCTGCAGTCGGTTATTAAGAACGTTGCGTCATTATCCGTCACTTTACGTCAGTCTAATCAACAACCATTATCATATAATATTTAATGTTTTAAATATAAAATTCTATACATTAAATCTAAACCTATTTACTTCATAAGGTTAGGTTGTAATATACAGCATAAAGTTGTATTTTTAGTGTTTGTGTAAGTAATATCTATATTTATGAATTAAACATATAAGTATTTTAATTAATAAGATACACAATGAGTGTTCTATGTAAATGTACATTTTGAGTTCAATTAGATAATAAGAAATGTTGATAAATAGGTAGTTTTAACAACTGCGTGAAGTCAGGCGGAGGAGCTCGTGTGAGCGGCAACCGGTCGTGTCCGCCGATCGCACTTGCGCGCCGCCCGGCTTTGTTCGGGTACTGTTATTTCGCTCAGATTCGCTCGCGCAATGTAACTTCACCCCGTCTGTAGTTGGACGCACTCGTCCGGTAGTCGCTACGGACTACGGCGGGGCCCTTGCAGTAAACTGTCATTATCATGCTTCACTCGACGGTAACGGTGTGTTAGGTGATCGATTGACTTGAGTAGAAAGATATTATATACGCGTCGCACACATTCCAAAACAACGCTAATCGCAACGCTACGCGGCGCGCGTCGACGGTCGCGTTGAAACTTGTAAGTTAACCACTTTGTTGTTCATTAACGATAAGTTAGGTTTAATCTCAGTCGATGTTTAACTTTAGTCTGTGTATAGTATTTTCTCGGTTAAGTTTATGTGAGAATGTGAATTTGAGCGAATCGACATGCCCCAGCCTGAAGGGTTCATAATAGCTGTAAAACTAAGTACCTAAGCGAATAATTCTGTTGCACCTAACTTTATTTTGCGAGCTGCGTTAGTTTATTTTATTAATTGTACATATAGGTAGGGCGAGGTATACAGTTTTCATTCAAACTTAGATGGTTATTGTTGAATCTGAAAATGTGGGGCTGGCAAATACCAATGCAATATTGCATTTGCTGTTGATAAATTTAAATAAATTGTTTATCTGATACCATAGATATATTAACTATTTATGTGTTACTGTTGTTTAGACGGTGGTGAGGCTGCGCCTTGGGACGTAATACTAATCAAATCTGCATGTTAATGTTTCGACGTCCTTAATTGGGTGTGATCACTAAGTGGCAGCATGGTAGTGCTTACTCTAAGTGCCCATGCTCCCGAGGCGCGATGGACCGAACGGTCCCGCGCCACCGTGGAACACATCCCTCGCATCGCGGTCCTCTGACCAATATATATATATAAATGTAAATTTAAAACCTAAGTACACCCAATACGTTTAGCCGAATGGCCTGTGAGGCTGCTTCTATTTTAACTGAATCTGAGTAATCACCACAATCAATAAGTTTCTTAGCAATAGTAAACGCTACATCACTGCTGACATCACTACATAACGCGACTATTCGTGAATTAGCAAGTATTCTTACCTGTTGCCAATTTTTGTTGTTACATAACACTGATTGCTATTTTACCACCACATTTTGAAAGCAGTGTTTCTAATTAGAGAAATTGACAATGGCCCAGGAATCCTAATATACATGTATCACATTATAAATGCTAAATTTATATTGTTCAGTTAGAGTGAAGCATCCAGAATTGTTTACCGCAGCCACATAAGTACCGTGTCATTACCTCACATTATGTCTTTTATAAATACATTATGAAATAGTTATTGTTGTCGCTAAATCTTATTTTTATTGTCAATACCTATTGTTTAGAGGTGTCTTTAAGTTTAAAGCTATAAACACGATGATCTATTTTTAGATGGCAACCTAGATACTTGTATTTGGCGGTGCGAGTTGTCGCCCGTGCATCGTCAGTGTATTTATTTTCAATGGTGATTAATAAATATTGTGAGACGCACGAACGCGTCGGCGGCGGGGACAAGCGACCCAGCCGCCGCTCGTTATTGTAGAAATAAATGATATTTTCGTTTAAATAATTGCGTCTTTATTTTGTACATTGTACACTCACCTATTTCTTTCAATAAACAAACATTAAACCTGTCATACGAACAGGGTGATATAATGTTTGGAGATTGGCCACTAATTTCCCGATAAATTTGCTGTCTATAAAATACATATATATAGTATAATGGTAAGACTTGAAATTGATAGTATTTTGCACACATAATGGTGCGAGCGCATTCCATGTTGAAAAGAATACGGTAGCCCTAAAATAATAGAACATTTATTTCAAATCAAAGTATACCTACACATAGAAATGAATAGATGGGCAGTTAACTATTTATCCGAGTGAGTATTTATAACTAAATTAAAACATACATCGGCACAACATGTCTACTAAAACGGAATCGTATGAATGAAATATGAGATTTATATTATGACCTAATGTCTAGACTACACCATGCCGTGGTTGCATAAACAACTAATTGCACCAATTCTATTTTTAATACAAGGATACTTTGTATATCCACCGCATTACCATAATTTAAAAAAAACAATAAATATACTGTCTAACCCTGCATCAGCTATGATGCATTTGCAGTAGCGCATAAATGTGTAAGAATAACTCTACATTTACAACTGCTCTAAGCTTCCCTTTCGAAAAATATATATAATAAAACATTTTAAAAACGATTTTCACAGCGTAGGCCAACTATAACCAGTTGACCTACGCTGTGTTCGTTTTACTATTGTAAATATTTAGAATAATATAGCTTAATCTGCAAAACCGTCCTACACATTGGACACCAAATCTAATCAGCTGTTTTAAATTAAAAATTCACAAGTGCTGCATCGCAAGACGAATCATATAATACGTACCTACTTAATCAGTCTTTATTAATCACGGAAAGATGGCGCTAAACCTATTCATAGATTTTTCATGATGTAGCTTAACCCTTCGAACGTTTTTACACAGATCTGTGCACACCTCTTATATCGTATTAGTGTTATCACAGATCCGTGCCCGCAAAACCGTGACTTCTTTTTAACCAATTTTATCCTTATTTAAAACAAAATAGGATTGAAACGCATTTAAAAAAATACATGGCGCCGCATACGTCCCTTTCATTTTCGATCGCTGCGACAGACGACGGACATTCGAAAGGTTAAATTAAGGAATATAGTGTAGTAATAATAATTAATTTGTTTCAAAACGCTATCTCTCCTATATTTTAAAGCGTGTCTTATATAAAAATAAAAAATAACAAACATCGACGCAAAAACTGATCCACAAAATTAAGATTAGTTAAATGTAAAAAGTCCTTTTATTCTAAAGTCATATATGACATAATGTTTGTGAAAATATTCTAGTATATAAACTGTACTACAGCTGCAAAAGTCTGGAAAAACTACTGGAATTAAATCTATTAAAATAAAAAATAATTTTATTACATCTATTCATATCAACTACATAAAATGTATATACTAACTACTAGAATCTAATAAGTAACTATTATACTACAAACGTTTAAAACTACAACTGAATAATGAAAAATTTTATTTACAATTAGTCACTACATAACAAATGTTTGCACCCGTACCCTGCTTTTAAATATCCATGTTAGGGCTGCATTCTTAGTGAACCATCCAATCGTATAGTTTCACCATTCAGCATAGGATTCTGTATGATACTCTGGACAAGCAACGCAAACTCCTGAGGGTGCCCCAAACGCGATGGAAAGGGTACGGTTGCTTCGAGTTGCTTTATCGCAGGTTCGGGTAAGGACTGCATCATTGGTGTACGAAATAGACCTGTAATATACAAATATACAAGCTCGTAATTTGATTAATGTCCGCATAGTATGTGTATTGGCTGTGAAAATTTTCTATCATTTGAATGCACATGGCATTTGAGTTATAGAAATAATTTAAGGCCAATATGCATGCATTTAAGTATAATGTTCTGGAAATTTCTCAGTCTTAAGACAACTAGGACATATGGACAACTTGTTACTTAATATATTTCTACAAGCTGTTAAATGTAGTTCAAGGAGCAAAGCTAATAGTAAAATAAACAGTGGATTTTCTTACTTTTAGCTTTTCATATATATCAATACTTTGTATTTTTACTGTAAAATTGTTTAATTGAGACAGAATAATTTATTTATTATCATATTAATTATACCTGGCGCAATCGTCACCACCCTGATGCCTTGTTTCGCAAGATCCCTGGCAATTGGAAGGGTCATGCCTACAACACCGGCTTTAGACGCGGAGTATGCTGCCTGACCAATCTTTAAACAAAAATAGTGAAGCAATATTTAATATAGAGAAACAATATATTTAAAATCAACCAATTTGATGATATTTTACTTTAGTATTATTATAAACGCGAAAGTTTGTATGTATAGGTATATGGATGTGTGATACTGTTTCACGCAAACACTACTCAGATTTTGATGAAACTACAGTAATATAGCTTATATTATTTATTTATTTAATTAACACAATATAAACTTACTTATATTATACATTATAATAATACATAAGCTATTATTTTAAAAGATATTTTCTAAATTGGGTGAAATATAATGATAAATGTCAAGTAAGTGTGATCCTGACGAAGTTGTGGGTCAACTAGTTGTATTATAAAAATGCCAATATCTTAAAAACATAACTTGTGTGTGGGAAGATGTAAATCTTTTAAATTTATACAGACCATTATAAAAATGATACACTATCACTAATCACTTGAACTATATAATACAAGCACTAGGCAGTTAGAACCTCTTCAACTAAATCAATGTGTGCTGAAAGCTAAAGTTTTTAAGTAGTTTTTTATAGGTACTCTTAGCAGGGTAAGGAAAATAAGCTGAATACAATACTATACTTACTATTGAAGCATTAGATATACTAATACATATTTACCTGTCCATCGAACGCTGCAACACTGGCCGTATTTATAATGACGCCTCTCTGTCCATCAGCATCAGGTGCATTTTTGCCTATCATGCCAGCAGACAGCCGTATCACATTAAAAGTACCTATTAAGTTGACCTGAAAATTGAAATAAAAAAAGACAATTATTATTTTGATATTTTAGCAGTGCTAGAACCTTAACATATGCTCTGCTTAGCTTGGGAATGAATAGCATTATCTAACTTGTTCAGGGAAATTATTCATAACAAGTAGATATTCCGAAGTAATGTATATATTCTTATAAATATCTATTTGACTAATTGACAACAAGATAAATAGACATTTAAAATACATATATTTATATTCAATTATTAATGTATTGTATGATGTGAAAATCCAGAAATTTTTAATTGTCACACACATTTTGTCATCGAATGAACTATGTCACAGTATATTTGCTATGTTAATTTCCTATTAATCTTCAAGTAAAAATAATTACGTTTCTTGTCTGATATCACAAACCTCAATGGTTCTCTGAAATAATTTCAGATCAAATGGTTGTTCCTTTTTGAAGTTGTAGATACGAGCAGCGCTTGCAACACCTGCACAGTTGACGGCTACATCGAGGCGGCCAAACTTGTCACGTGTTGTTTGTAATGCATTTTTCAAATCTTGCTCTGATGTTACCTAGAAATTACACAATAAAGTTAGTTATAATTATAATTTGAATTTATAAACATCATACAGATCTTTACTACTCATCATTATCTGCTGCATTTGGGGTAGGCGTAATAGATCTTTACTACTAATTATATAAATACCTATACCCCATGAAATTACATATTATTTGTATTAAGAATTTATATACATAAATAACATTCTCAGTGCTAAGGAGTATTAGTATACTGTTATACCATTATTTTAATCCAGTTAATTGTAAGACGTAGGCTATATATTTATCTTAAAATCATAAAGAAAAACCACTGAAAAACTGTATAGAATGAACAATACATAAACTTACTACTTGATATACATTATGAAGTCTAATATAAAGTTTTCTCATCATACCCCATCCGTTCAGATAATGTAACTTATTATATACTTACATCAACAGGCACAAATGCAACATTTTCACCGAGTTGCTTAGCTGTTTCCTGTCCAGTGCTAGAAGGCAGGTCACATATAATAACTCTCCCACCTTGTTTCAACAACTGTTCAGCAGTTGCTCGTCCAAGACCAGATGCGCCCCCCGTCACTAAACCTACGAGACCCTGGAAAATATTAAGCACGAATTTATTAATAAACACTATTAAAGTCCAAACAACTATTTATATATTCAAATAGTGCAAATCTTTAGTTATTTTGTCTAATCTTATGAGGAATATTTTAAACTCACCTTAAACATTTTTGTAAGAATATGATAAGCAGCTAGTAATCAGTCTTTAAGATGAAATAAGTTAATAACCTTTGTTCTTAACCTCAACTTGAATTGATAAACTAGTATTGCAGCATACAATATTTTTATCTAAAGTTTTGTAGTAGACATAATACGATAAGACGTACTGTTGCGATCAAATGTTAATAGAATTAATTGAAAATGTAGCATATATCACAACGTTATAATATAAATGCAAGCGAACTGAGCATTCAAATCTTTTATTTACATACTTTTTCAAAGTGATCAAATCAATATGTCATTATCACAGGTCAGCATAAATGACATCGGAGCACAGATTAGACCATCAGATTGTTGTTTGACATAATTATGACATATGACAACTGATTCACATGTCATTCATTTCATTCATTGTTATAGCGGATAGGTAGCCTTTTAAATTGTGAACAATAAGAAGAATATAATCAAACTTGCGCAGATTATAAAGGAAGCGGATAGAGTTGTTCAGAATATAATGTCAATTATATAATTATAATATTTGTATAAAAGATTCATGTCAAAGCAACACACATATCCCTATAGGGAGGAATTTTTAGAATTGATGAAATCACATAGCATAGATAACATGATTGTTCCAACTGAGAGCACTGTCCATCAATATCTCGAAATTAAGGGATGGGATAGTAATGGTATGTATAGTAATATTATCTTATCTGTGGTAAAAGGACTACTGCCCCATTTAATCTAACAATATACCCTGTCAGGTGGACCTCCACGCGGTTTTCCCTGGAAAACGATACGGTTAAATATAAATTAATTCAACATTAAATGTAATAATAATAGAATATATATACGACTAGTAGGTTAATCTGACATGGAAGACACTAAAAAGACTTAGGTACTAGAACTGCAGACTGAGAAAAAGTGTCTAAAAGTAAACATGTAATATATCAGATGTAGATAATCTTCATCAATTCTCGATGGATCTTATAATGATTCTTGTTCCGTTGCGTTTCAAATATGTGAAATAAAATCATAAATTATAGTTTCAGTAAAAAGTACATAAAAGTAAATGAGATAAAAAAATAACAAGCTAGCTAGCTATCTCTTATACAGTCCAATGCACGGATGATATTTAATAATTAAACAGTAATTGTACTCTTAAATGACAATGGAACTGCCTTACTTTGTTGCGATGTTTCTATAATAATTTGGACTTATGTTAAACATAAGACTGAAATCACGGAAGTCATTGCTGCTCGTATTACCAAACGACGACACATCTTTTGCGAAATGTGGAAATGTCATATTATTGTGCTGATCGGCATATTTTCTACTGCAATGTCAAAGAGGGAAATTAAAAGGGGACATTTGGTAAATAATAAACAAGAAGATTTAGATTCCAAGAAAATTATACCAACCACCACTTCCCGCTCAAATAAAGGCGACGCTGTTGTGGAAAAATTTGTCGAAACCCTTATGTCTAGTGAGAGGTATCTAAAAATGGTAGAGACAGTGGAACGGAAGCTGACCCACTTGGATGCCACATTCCACGAGAAGACCAACAGTATTCTAAAGCATTTGATTGAGATGCTGAGGTTGGTAAAGTCACCTCCCACCGTTGAGTTGGAGAATGCTCTGTATTCCGTCAAAAGTGATTTGGATAAGCTGAAACATTATCTAGCGGAGCGACTACATAAACCACATGTGCGAGGTAATTTATAATTTTACTAGCTGTGCCTGTGGTTTCACCCGCGTTATGTTTCAACATATAAATTTCAATTAAAATTATTCATTCTGATGCATAAGCTATATAACTGTAACATTTCGTTAAAATCCGTTCAGTAGTTTTTGTGTAAAAGAGTAACAAACATCCATACTTACAAACTTTCGCGTTTATAGTATTATTAGGGTATAGCATATTTTAAATTGAAACTGAAACTTTTTACTTGAGACTATTGTTTACAATTATTGTTATTTGTAATAAATAAAATTTACACATATTCACACTTTTGCTATTATCTACCTTACCTTTTCCTATCATTAATCTTGCAAAATAAATAAGTTTTCTTCAAAATTATTAGCAACTGCGGTAGGTATGTATGTAATATCAAGTGAGTTAGAGACCTATATATATATATATAAAGTCGCTTGTCCTGATTGATAGGTCAAAGTATAGTCTATATAAATCACAGGAACTACTAGTAGATGCTTAAATTTTGCGAATTGATGCATTTTATTACGAAAATCTACTCTAGGAAATAATTTGTCTAATTCCACCCCAAAAAGGCTAACACTAGAAATGAACGTACAAGTTGAAAAAATATCTGCTAAGAGGGTAAATTAAGGGTAAATTTATATAAGTAGGTACGTATTTTAAGTAAATTCTAATTAAGATAATGGAATTTTATTTTAAAGCTTGTAATGAACAAAATTCCACCTTCAAAGGATTAAATCGAGTGATAAATATAAATATTTGTCAGACAATTAAAATTGTGAACACCCACAAAGGAAAGATTTTTTTAAATTTGTCTATCCCCGTTATAGGAGTATAAGGGATGGCCTAGTGTATGAAAACCCATAATATTTAAAGTTAGAAGAATTAAATATCATACACACAGTAGCTTATTGTTTAAAACACATAAATACATATTTCTAAGTTTTAAAAAATCTGTACCTTATAATCATGAAATAGTTTGAATGTTAGTAAGGATAGTCAGTCCAGTGTATATTATTATATACATGGACTGACTATCCTTACTAACAATTTGTTTTCATTGATAACTTCGAGATACCTACAGTTTATTCTCGATATGGCATTAACAACAAAAAATAAATTTACACGGCGTTTTATTCAAAATAAAATTTACCGCGAGCATCGTATAAAAATTTATTAAGATATTAAAAGTTATTGAGATTCTTTCTTATTCTTTGAAGGAATGCCCTTGCAGTTTTCTTTTAAAAAGAAGTCTAAAACTACAATTATTTTTTTATGTGGTACAATTGTACTACATAAAATGAATATAGGTACTATTTAATTATATTATTGTTTATGGCCCTTAAGGGCGCCGCAAAGAAATATTAAATATGTAGGGGAGTCGCAGTATAAAAAGTATTGGGAACCTATAGCTAAATACAAACTTTAATAAGCAAACTTTTTTAGTTAGGTAATCATAATATCAATCATCTATCGAATCTATCTATTATATAAAATTCTCGTGTCACAGGTATTGTGTTTATACTCCTCCGAAACTGCTTGATCGATTTTGATGAAATTTTATATGTATATTCAGCAGGTCTGAGAATAGGTTTATAACAAATTTTATAACCCTAAGTGTAAAGGGTGGCTCACCCTAAAAACTTTTTTTCCTTTTTTCGACAATTATGTTTACTTTTATTTTTTTATTATGTGCCATTAAAAATACATACAGTCTTATATTTTAACCCTTTACCACCAACACCTATTTTTTAATAGTGATTATAATTTATAGGCCAAAACAACGTTTCCGGGGTCAGCTAGTAAATATATAAAATTAAGTAAATACAATGTGATAATTTATTGTTGAATAAAATTACTACAAGCTAAAACGGTAGATACTGTAAATGTCCAATTAGAGAGAAAAAAGGAAAATCACTTACAAACTATCGCAAAAAGTGGAACCTTATATACGTACCTCATGTTTGTTTGTTCGTATTATATAGGTACAGGTACCCAAGATGTTCAATTGCTGTTTGGGAAGAGATATGTACGTGTATAGGATAAGTACAAACAATACCTATTCTCAATGACTTCACAATGAATAACAGCAAATCAAGATATATTAAATATCAGCATTTCGAACAATAGTATATATTATAATATGTTTTTTTAATGTAAGATTATGGAATGATGTACTTCCTTGATGCACGCTGACCTACGTTGGCTAGGCAGTGAATAATGATAAAATGAGAATGATGTTATTCCATCAGCTCTTCATGGTAAATTTACCAAGTCGACCTGTCAGGGTATATTACAAGCAATAAGACCCCTACTGCCCATTATTAACAATCACTTTACTTATATATTATATTATACTATAAAATAAGTTTTTGGATTTACCGTGTCATTAGCATTGGTGGCTATTTCGTATTCAAATCAACCGGTAGTTAGAAATAGGGACAGATAAAATTACAGTAAGCTTCAATGGACTAGCTAAATATTCCCTAAAGGTTGTTGAGTTGCACGATAGTGTCAGATAGCCGCAATCTGTACTAATATTACGAGTACCTATATAATAAAAATTAAACATTTCATAGTTTTGTTTAGTTTGGAATAGGATTAGAAATTACTGGATCCATTTGAAAAATCTTGTACTATTAGCTAAATTATCCCTGACGCACGTAGATAGAATATTGTCAATAACGTTAAGTATCTGTATGAAATCTTCGTAAGTAACGCGTGAAAAATTACGAAATAAATATTATGTGATTTGCAGCGAAAATGATTGACAATAGAGCAAAGTGATGTACCTAATACAGTTTTATAGAGGACATTAAACTAGTTATTCATGTTAAATAAGCAGTATTAACGCTGATACAAACCAGACAACATTATTCGTGTTATATTTTTAAAATTTTATTAAATGTACCTGGGCAGAACAAGTTCTGCTTAATATATTATGGGTACATACAGTAAGCTGAAACATCGATTGTTAAAGAACAAAATTCGTAACAATAACTAATTAATAAGTATAGTAACTAATGTAAGGAATGTATTAAGAAATAATTGCTTGCTTTTCCTAGATAACATATTTATGTTAAAAGAAGTGTTATACACCTTAGGTATGTCTAGCCCCTGCAGACCATCGTGATCAATTCCTGATGAATTGGTCACGATGTGCACTCTAGATGACCTGACCTATCATATTATTATAATTCATAGATGTCCTACCAGTGTAAACCGTTAGCACAGGCGTGTATCATGTACTTTTTAGTTCTGGTCGATACTGCAATCATTGACGTTGTGGTAATATTTTTTTTTCAATCTATAGTTTAGTGTTATGTGGTAATGCTGCATGATTTACTATAATACATGTGAAATCCTCATGAAGTATTCAAGAGATTAAAGAAATTACTATATACCAACACACAATTACTGACATTTAATCACGGATTAATGATTCAAAACATAAACAATTACAAACATATTTGTGGCGGTATTTATAACAATTAATATAAACAAAATTGTGAGAGTGTTCGCGTCAAAAGTCACACCGGTATTCCATCCTTTGTTTTTATTTATTTCCAACAGTGTTTGTAAACTTGTCTTCTGACTCTATTGCTGCTGAGCGACACCAGTCGTTTAATGCCACACTGGCGAGTCACATCTCGAAATGTTAAAAAAAATACAAATTATTAATTTCGCTCTTATTGCACTTTCCACTGTATCCTGTGAAGTGAACAGGGATAGAAAAGGAAGAAAGAAGAATGAATACCAGGATCAATCATTGTGGAAAAAAGAATACGAAGACGAATTAACTGACGCGATGCTTTCCACCAGAAGAAGAGAAAATGTGACCCGAGTGGCACAGTCTACGGGGGCGATGGATAATGAGATGGTCCTAGAGAAGTTGATGGAAACTTTGACGTCTAGTGAAAGATATTTAAAGAAAGTCGACAGCGTAGATTTTAGACTAAATCGTTTAGATATAGAAATACACCAAAAAACTGATAACATATTGAAACAACTAATGGAGATCATGAAGTCTGTACGAGGCCAAGATTATGCTGACAAATTAGAAACGGTGCTCGAGTCTCTAAAGACAGATGTGAATCAAATCAAATTGATGATAGATAAATTACATAAATTTGACAACGCTGGTAAATATGGACTAACTTTATTTTACTGTATGTAATATCTGATACCAATTGATCCCAGCACCGAAGTTACCTACACATCTTCCCATTTAACAAATATTTTATACTTTGTATTTCTAAATGTAATAAAAATTATATTTCTCTTTCTATAGAATTTTATTAAATGTTTGCGACACCTTTTATTTTGTTGTACCTACTTGTACCTACTCATCCATATACCCATACAAATGAGTTAATTTGTATATTTGGATGTACATATTTGAGTAGAATTAGGTAGGATCTTTTTTTTATTAATCATAACATTCTTTACCTATATTCGAACATTTATTGATATTTATAAAAGTCATCCGGCATACAAGAACGGCAAGGCATGTACCTACCATCAGGAAAGCTAGCAGCTTGATTATTATTATCACCAGTTACATTAAAAGGAGCAGAGCAGCATAGCAGAGTTATGCATTTATGGAAGTAATTATATATAATATTATTTCATTGGTTTAGTGGATGGTCCCGATTTCCATTCTGAATCTGTATTGGACTCAAGACTGTCTAATTTGGAAAACAACATACAGAATATAGTGACTGGAGTGGAATCTATAGTGACCACCATATCGGATGTCAAGAATAGACAATATTCTAAGCCCTTTTCGAGGTATGTATTGTCTTAATCTATGATAAATGTTGTATTCCGTTATACGAACAATATATTTTATTTCTAGCTTTTCCCCGCGGCTTTGATCAATTTGATTCGAAAAAAATTGATTTAATAAATCATTTTTTTTTTAATAATAAGAATTCTATGTTCATTCTAATACCCCCAAGAACATGTGTACAAAATTTCATGATGATCAGTTCAATAGTTTTTGCGTGTAAGCGTCAAATTTACAATATTATTAAGTATTTATCTTATATCTAATACCAATAGGTATTAGATACCTATTGGTACCTCGTATAATTTATATATTAAGGTAATCTAGTATAATTTCGGGACCCGAGCCAATAGGTTTGAAATTATACTAGGCAAATAAAACAATAATAAAATAAGAAGCGAAAGCAGAGATTCCAGAGCCTAGCAAGCGCGTTGTATCTAATTCTAAAAAGTCAGGCAGTGAACCCTATACTACGATTGGTTATTACTTATTATTTTATGTTGCTTCTTCGTCAAAACTTAAGTACATAGATTATTTATCGGAAATGTTCTGAAGTTCTTACATGTGTAAGTACCTATATCTGTTAGGTTTATGCAGATATGTTATACCTTACAACAACATCCGGAATTCATATTATTTCTTGACATCATGTAACATTTTGTCATATTTCTCATAACAAAATGAAATCTGTGAGAATGTTTAATATAGAAATCAATAGGTTTAATCCTAACTCGTATTTCATATAAAATAGGAGGGTCGATCGGTCGAACTGATCTGTTTTATTCAGGATCCAGATTGGAAGTAAAATTGTATCTAATGATAACGCGGCCTCCCTCTGTATGGAGGAACGGCGGCTCAAGAAGAGCCAAATTATGTTAGAACTTTAGAACGGGTGATTTTTATACAAACTTTTAGATATCAGTATCACGATACATTTGTGGGATGATGATTGGATAGACGTAAAATTTGTCTACTCGAACACAGCGTGCGTAACCCTTGTAGGTAACTGTTACAGTCAGTAAACTGTGTGTTTATACCTATTATATACCTACTTTGTTTCTAAGAGTGACCAAATGACCTAAATTTCGCAGAAGATACTTAAAATATTACTGGAATTCTTTTACAGAACAGAAGCTAGTGGATCAATTGACACGTTTAGTTTGATAAACGAATTCAGAAGGACTTTACATGAACAGAAAACGAAGAAATGCGAGTGCAAGTAAGTTGGTTTGAACATAAATTATGTATTATATATAGCAGAGCAGAAGTGTACAGATGAGATTTTTTATTTAATAATTACTGTTAGCTTATATCTTTTAAATTACGATACGGATTTTAATGCAGTTTTTAGTACTAGGTAGCGTGTTTTAAGAGGAAGATTGAATTGAATGTACAGTACCTACATGCGTATAGAACAAGCCGAGAAATTCATACATTTTTGAGTCATAAAGTAAGTAACAAGTTACTTAATTTTCATTATCCAGAAATGGTCGTGTGGATCGATCTGAACGCTATCCAACTGACTGCCACGAGATACAGATGCAAGGATTCAACGTTTCTGGTATTTATAAAATTAAACCTGAAGACATGGAGCCATTCTACGTGTTGTGTGATCTTATCACTGCTGGAGGTGGATGGACAGTTAGTACTTACATCATTTCAATGTAGCACAAAAACTATCACAATCAAATGACTATAAGACAAATGTGTACACTTATAGTTAATTATTATATAGTAAATTTTGTATATAAATAGTATGAAGTTGCTGTTTCATCAATTTCACTGCTGACGTCATTTAAATAACACAAAGGATTTTTGTTATTTGTCATTTGGAGAAATTCTGCCGGAAAATAATATTGCTATTAGGTATATGTCTGTTTATACATACCTACGGCCTCCATCCCATACACTGTAGATAGATACACCCTTGCGAAGCCGAGGATTAAATTTAATTTAGTATAATAATCTTGAGGAGCATATCTATACATTATTTACAGAAAAAACAATACCTACTCTCTTCCCTTTAGCAGAATAAAATTTATTAAAACGTGTATAGGTTTTTCAAAATCGCTTCGATGGTTCTCAAGATTTCTACAAAGGTTGGTCAGACTACAAGCACGGGTTCGGAAACTTGGCTGGCGAGTTTTGGCTTGGTCTGGAGAAGCTAAGTTATCTCACCAACCAAAAACTGTATGAGCTAAGAGTGGAGATGGAGACAGAACATGGACAGGAAGCGTACGCTGGCTACTCCGTGTTCACTGTCGGACCCGAATATGAAAGCTATAGGATCAGTACGCTCGGATCTTTCTATGGAACCGCAGGTACATAATCTAACTACGTCACCTCGAAGAACTATTTAGGTCTTTATTGCATAGACGAGACACTTTTCTTAGTCGAAGATAAAACACCTGTATTGATTCCTGTAAAACGTATTTTAAAAAATGATTACCATTATCACATATTTTGTAGAAATATACTGTATATGTGGCATACCACACATATCTACAGTTTTTATTTTATACATAGGTATATTAAAAACAATTCATAGTATCTATTCTAAATTTGATACATATACAAAATTTGTGATTTTAAATAAGCATTAGGTTAGAATTATTGCAATGGGGAAGTTGTATCAAAATATAGCAATTCGAAAAATTCTAATATAATCAGCAAATATATTTTTCGCAAAAGACAATATTTAGACGTCTACCTACTGACGTATTGATACCCTAATTTTATCAAATTAATTAGAATTCAAATTCGTACTTCAGGAGATTCACTCTCGTACCATGCTGGTCAAAAGTTTTCTACGCTGGATGCCGATAATGACGAATGGAAAGATGGAGCATGTGCTTTGGAACACGGCGGAGCATGGTGGTACAAGGAGTGCGATAAAAGGTATACCTATATTGTTTGAAGATACATATTTAAGGCACTATAATAATAACAATTAACAGACTTTTTCTGTAAACAAATTGGAAATACAAAATTTTAATTGACACTTACCATAATAGATACATAATTTATTAATAACGGTTTAGCCAATTTAAAAATTACTTATGACCATGTTTCTCGCTAACGTTCACAGCTCTAGAGATTGCATACATATGTATTTAAGTTTCTTTCATTCCATTCATGCACCATCTACGACCGTCTGTCTTTTCTCCTCTACTCAAAGGTTGTGTGGAAGAGATCGCTTAACCGTTAAGACCGCATTTAGTACCTTCATACTCCATAAAATTTGTGTTAATTTTTTTTCAGATAGGATAGGTCATTTTTATTATACCTACATATATTTGTAGTCAAGAATCTTTATGTTATTTAATAATAGGTAATGCCCAGTATGAAATCTATAAAATTGTTGCAGTAACCTCAACGGGAAATATTCGATGTCTGCGGACGAACATCGTGGTCAGTCAATATATTGGATATCTTTCAAGGGTCCCAGCTCGCCTTGTACTAAATCCAAAATGATGATTAGACCGCTTCCTGCCAGCAAACCTATTGACTTCCACGAAAATAACAGGGTAATGTATAGCAAAACACTGTCCATTACGGTTTAAAATAATAATGGGGCAGAAGGGCATTTGTTAAGGTTTCTAGTACGAAAGTCGCATGAAGTAACACTATATAGAAGATTACATCTTTACATAGAATGAAGTCCTTGACACTGTCTGTTCGCTTAGATCTTTTCAACAGCGCATCGGATTTTAATGCATATTTAAGCAATATATAGTGATTCTTGAGGATGGGATTTTATGCATAATACATGCGTGTTATAATATAGAATAATCCCGGATTGGTCGCTAGTAGGTACATCATATAAATATGGACATTATGCAAAATATACTTTACCAAGTAAAAATATTCAGTAGTCTAACGATTTAGCTCATCGCGTATCAATCGCAGTCGATGGTCGCGGATTCTATTCTATTCCTATAATAGCTCTGTTTAGCTTGGGACCAGATGGCGTTGTGTAAAATATTCAGGATTAGGTATTACTAATTTATTAAAGTAAATTTAGACTAAATTTTCTATATTCGTTTAATTTTTCAAAATTAAAGTAGTAAAAATTATCGTCATTTAAGTGATTGTATTGTTTTTATTTAAATGTAAACAATTAGCGTTAAGGATGAACAGCTCATGTCGTTGCAGAAAATTTTAGAAAGGTCGAAATTGAGGCCGGTCCCAGAGAAAATAAAGGGCGTTCATACGAAAGACTTCAAGGCCACATACGACCTTAACCACCGCTCACCCTACAGATACGACGAGCCTCCAAGAGTCGACGCATTATTTCATCACTATGTATAAATTATAACCACACAAGGACAAAATATTATTTCTTGCTCCTCTTTTCGTTCCTCCTACATCCTTCACTAGTTTTTTATATCATGAAACATACACAGTATTGTATGATATCATGAAATGAAGTAAGGCAACAATTAAAACAAAACATTAGTTCTGTTGTAAACAAATAAACTTGTATTATATTTAAATAAATGTTTCTTTATTATTCTTCTCTCATTTACACATATCTACACAAACCTATATATATACATTTCTACTATAGGTTTGATGGCATTGTATTTTGTTACCTTTACAACACTTGATCTAAATTCCTGTCTGGTAGCTTTTTCTTAATTACTTGCTAATCTACTACTAAAAATGAGTATCTTTTTATTCATTCCTTTATATTCCACAGACCAAAATACACCACAGATGGTGTAGTTTTTAATTATTTTTTTCTGAAAACGGTGCGTGACGTGTATTACGTAGTTACTTGTAGCTATTTTTAGGGATTATTATTGTTACCATTTATTGCTATATGTCCACTTAGTGTAAATATATTTGTTATAGGTACAGCCGTTACGTTATACTATACAAATTAAATAAAAAACTATTGTATCAGTCTCGTTCGTTTTTATTTATCTCTAATTTTTGTTGAACAGTTATGAATTAGCGTCTAAATCAGTTGAGCAAACTGTGTTGGACATAACATTAAAATTATATAAAACTGTGAAGTCGCAACCGCTGATTGAGATATTTAAAGCACTGTGTAATATAGTACATGAAACAATGTAATAATTAGATTAATATTATTTTCTGCAACATTTGTGAAGAGTGACAAAATCAGAACATTGTTTCGACAGCTATGACTCCACAGTTCACAGAGTCACATGGCAGTGTACTAGTACTATGCAAATATTAATGATTAATGATACATCACATTAGCTCAAATTACAATACGAAACCTAAAATTACATAATATAATATTTATTAACGGTATGCTCATAAGAGGCTCCCGGAAGGAGCAATAATTGGTTGAAGGAAATAAATTTTATAGCGTATACAAATTATTTTACGTATACAATTAATATCTAAACAAAACGTTCTTTTCTAGTAATAGTCGACTCATATAATTTTGTCACAACATATCATTAACGTAATTACATACAATATTGTAGACCGACATGTTTAATCAGCGTCGGTACATAAAACATTAATTGGTAATTTGGAAAAAAATTTAGTGCAAAAATATAGCCTTAAATCCTACAAGCTATTTAAACGGACTACATGTAGGCAGGTGATTAAAAAAGTACCCTATCCTAAACTCCCAGACTTACAGCATATGATATCATTACTGACCTGTTTTTGGTATCTAACAATTAACAAATTTAATAGGTACAAAATCCAATTGTCTAATATTTACAACGGTTGACATGTATAAAACGTTATAATTACTTAGAAAACTCGTCTAGAAAAGCTAACGATTCCTTACTTTAGGCGATTGTATTTTTATCAATTACTTTCGTAGTTCATGAGCCGAGAGATAACAAAGTATCTTATATAGATATATACAGACCTATGATTAATAATAATTATATAAACGAAATGGCAAAATGAATATTAGCACCATGGATTATTTATAGTCCAATGCTAAGGTGATGAACATAATAATATTGACAATACGTCAATCATCACGCCAACACGCTTCATAAGTATTGAGCCTTAATAAATCCAGATGACATTAAGATATTCACAAGTAATTAGTTAACATTGCACACGGTAATCAATTTTTAAAGAAATTACCACTTCCGAACCTTGACACATTTTTTAACAATTTAAATGGTAATATTTACAGATATAAGGGATTATCAACAAAATAATAATGCAACAATAAAATTACAGGAGTAAACATAAATATTATACCGTTTCGAAATTTACATTTTGTTGCCGTTATTATATTTTATAAAAAAAGAACTATTATTTCTCCTAACAATTTCCTTGCTATATTGATATTATTATAAAAGATTACACACAATAGTAAAGTATATTATTATATACGAAAAATTCTCCGTTACAAAGATTTATGTTTATTAATCTAACATATTACGTAATATTACGATACAATAGAATCACCAAACAAAAAGTTAAATTACTCGAGGAGATAAATTGTTTTAGATATTTATAATAAACTAAACTTTAAAAATAATTTATTATCAATATGAGACAAAAACAAAACAGCCGCAAAAAGGCAGTTTTTGGTTGACCTATTCTACCTAATAAGATCATTGTCCACACTTATGAATTATTGTTATTATTGCTTGCGCTTCGTACGACGGGGTTCATCTTCACCATTACATTACAATGCTATCCTATACATGATGATGAATCGACACAAACACAGAAGTCTAAAATTGTCACTTTATATGTTTACCAAAACGATTCTTTTTACTAGATACTTGTCAAAAAACTACGAAATAGAATGACATCTGTAACTCTACAGTTACCTACTCAGCGAAGGAGTTTATCGACGTAAGCGCAATTACATTCTACTTGACAGCTTTTTAACTAATAATAAATATTCTATTAGATAAAAAATACGCAATGTCCGTACGTACATTAATATAGATTTAATAACAAGTATATTACTAAAAATAAAATAACATTAAATTAGCTGTAAGGTAAGTAGGTATTGTGAATTAAAGTAGTAATTTTAGACTGCTTAACTGTCGTGCCGATTAGACCATTTACGGTTACTTTAACAAAACTAAAAATAAACATACATATATTTTAAGAGCCGTTTCATTATTCTCTATCTGAGATTAAGTTAATAGTATATTACGATATAAGTGCGATATGATGGTTATAACACACGAGGTGGAATTTCAGCCCGAGCCGTAGGCGGAGGCGTAATAGAGCCGGGTGTGTTAAATACGCACGTATATCGTACGATGTTGTTCAACACATTTGATTTTAAATAAACTCGACAATAAAACTGTAATGCACAGTTGCTTTCCAATCGTTTTAGTTTTTAAATCAACGCGCTGCTCACTAGATAGCACCGCGTGGCGGGGAGTTGGAATTTTAATGAAAAAAAAGCAGATAGCGGTTATGGAACATAACTTCATTATTTGCATTTACAACGCAACGCACACGTGTTTTATGAGCTGCTTTATAAATAGAAAACCAATGAAATTAAATCTACTTTACGAGCAAGTGTGTTGAAAAAAATATCATTTACCTTTTTTGTGATTCAAAGCGAGATACAAAGATGGTTATAAGTTGCTTTATACGATGCCGTGATGTTTTTTTAGTATTTTTCATATATCAAACGTTTTATAATTAGTACAATTATATACGCGATCATTAATTGTTACAAACATTATTTTCAGGGTTCCATCCACGCGTCTAATAATTCCACTTTTACATACTTAATTAAATAATGCTTTTTATTAAAAATATTCTTAACGAGACATGTTATATTCTAATGGTGCACCAAACGTATATGAATGAGCAACACCCAATACTCCATCATCTGTGTATGTATTCTACTTAGTTAATAACCATATAAATTGAAAGAAGGATGCCATAGTGTATTTATAAATTCATTAAGTGTACATTTTACGTGTTTAGAAAAAACAATTTTTATAGACCAGTATTAATATTAAAATAAATGTTTTTTAGTTTATGTTTAGTTTAATAGGATTTTTCTAATGTTTACACGATACAAGAAGCATACCATATACTCAAATGTTTTTCTATGCATAATAAAGAGTTATATTATTATTATTCTATACGCAAACGTTATGTTACGGTGGTTACATCAGACGCGCGCAACTATATATTTTATGCCTAAATTTTACTTAATAAAGCTATTCAATATAATATTCATAAGAAAATTTTTACGATCTGTCTCAATAAGTCATGTTTGAATAGAAATATAAAAGTTTTTAATCACACACACTTAGGGAGATAGAGTGTGTACAAAAAAGAATATATTCTTAATACTAAGTAGGCGGCACTTTCGACTTATGTTTTAAGTGTTGAACAGTACAGGGTTGTTGTCACAACAGCTACTCAATATGCAGTTATTGAAATATGAACAAGTGTGTTAAGACATTACATTATCACAAGAAATGGACTTTATATAAAAATTAATTTAAGCTGTATTTATAAATAGTGTAATGATTAAAAACTTTTGATCGCTACGCACAACCAATATATTGAGCTTGCGATTTTTATAGTCACATAATACATATGTACAGTACAATACGTGTGTACAGTAATGTACATACGAGTTCAGTATCTATTAATAGTAATACTATTCTCATTTTGTTAATATGAAACGCTGCAATAGCGAAGTATTTTCATTGTAAATTAAATTATGTGCTGTTGTGTAAACCCACACTGATCGATTAGACGAATTAAAAGAAAAGATACATTAGTGTTAATTACAATATTATTACTAACTAAAGTTTAATATTCTATGTTATTTTAGTAATTTATTATAAATTACAGCAACTTGATGTTTAGCATTTGTGTCGATACAATTCACTGGTAGTTTTTATATAATAATATTTTAATGTAAGGTGGTATTAATATTTCAAAGGCGCTAATTATGAGTAATTACATTAATCAAAATAAATTTTGAAGTCCGTATGCATTGTTAAGGAACGAGATGTAGTAAATCTGAAACACTAGTGGTGCAAAATTGTAAAATCTACTTATTAATTAGATTCCCTCATAATTTCGCTTTCTATTACATCCCGTTTGTACATTCCGATAAACAGGATTTAGATGATTTTCAGTAGTCCGAAAGTTTCTTAAATATTACGATATATCACAATGATATATTTAGATAATGTAGTAAATATGTCTACAACCATAAACCTAAAATATTATTATATATGCTTATCTAAATATTATTTACATATAAATTATATTATGTGAACACTGAAGTAAGGTTAATTCGCCATTTGCCATCTTCGCTATCTTATGTGAATATTCTTATAGTAAAAGTCTGTAAAAAAAGACAAAACAAACTAATTAAAAACTCACCAAGATGTGGTAATATAAATAAATATTATTAAACTAAATTAAATTTTAAATGTCAGGCAGGGTAACGTTCGCTATAATGTCGAATGGATATCAGTTTCTGCTTTAGTATCCGGAATTAAGACTTTGTTTTAACGTAGTGGAGACTGCATTCAACCATGCTAAAGGTAGCAAATACTAGTTCTATCTTAATATATAATCTGAGGAACAATTATAATTATTCAAATTTTTTTGTTACCTGTACTTTAAAAATAAAGAATTTGAATATGAGTACAAATCAATAAGAAATTACCAAATTTAAATAATTACTCCTCAATATCGATTCGTTCATAGTTTCTAATAATTTAGATAAAACTTAATGTTTTTTAATATGTATATTGTTAAGAAAAATTGTGAGTACCTCAGTCGTGATCGTGCGTCGTCTGCTCGCTCTCTGGTCGCAGTGAGTCTATGCAGGCTACAATTTTGAGTGCCGGCCCGAGCTTCATAGCTAAGGCCATCACTAAATGTTCAGGTTTGATCAACAATAACGCCTCCCCGTCCACTTCTTGCATGAGGAACTCGTCAGCATAGCCCGCACAGCCAGGAATATTACGAATAAAGTCGCACACCTCTGCCACCTGAACATAATAAATGATAGGTAATTATCATTATTGTTAAGCATTAAATGGATAATTAGTAAATCCTATTACTAATTTCATATAGTTTAAATACAATAATTTCGGTGGCTTAGAGTCTTTTTATAACAAAAGCTTCTTAAAAGTCAGCAACGGGCACGTGACACTCCTGTTGTTTCAGGCGTCCATAGGCTACGGTAACCATTTACCATCAGACGGGCCGCATTTGCTACCTATGTGGTAAAAAGAAAGTTTGTTCTTATAACAGTATATTGTCTAGTTATAAACAAACATCCACCAACATTTCTTTTTCTTTATAATGCATACATCTACCTATATTTAAAATACGAAAGCATTTCTGCTTTACTGTTTCAACAGCTTTGTAATGAAATTTGATATTAAGATAAGAGATAAGAGAATATTGTATTAAAATTAGACATGTTTTAGAATAGCAATTGTTATAAATAGATTACATACAGTCCACTTGTTAACGTTGGGTAGTTTTGGTTGTGTGGCAGAATCACCGTCTGTGGCAGTATCGGCTGATTCCGCGGCGGCCGCTCCCTCCGGCTTCACAGACGAGTTTTGAGTCTCGCTGCTGCTCTCCATACTTGAGCTGATTCGAGGTAGACTTACGCTCGATTCCATCTTTTGCTTCTTACCTGTATAAATTCACCTAATATATACATCTGATATTAAACAACATTGTGTTTGGGGAAAGCGATTGTCAGTAATGTAGACTGTTAACAACATTGCTAGCAATGTAATCTGTCAGGTTGCCCTCCACGCCGTAGCCATCATGATAAATCATGGTGAATTAGTCACGATGGGCTAACTGACCAGACCTCATGTTAATTGTATCGTCCTCCACTGGTACCCCGCCGCGTAGCGTTAGTGCAGGCGAGTGCACAATTCTATTATAATTCCTTAGAAAAAACACATTGTATTAAAAACCAAACCAAACTATTGAAATATTTTCTATTAAATTTTCATGAAATATACAAAAGATCTGTAATTAATAAGTTTAAAAAAATATATCATTACGTGGAGGTTCTTCTACAGACGGCAGTTTGTTCTCCTTATCCTGTTCTTTATCTCCACCAGCCACCCATTCTCGCAGGGGACGATTCACCTAAAATAGATGGTAATATTACTAACATTATACTAAAGTACAGTACAATAATCAATATTATTTAACTACTTACGTCTCTTACGTAAGTAGTAATATTCATTTTGGAAATGAATAAAATACTTGAAGATGAAGCAAGGTACGTCAGGAATTTAGACAATAAAGTGATAAATAATGATTTAAAATAACAAAAAACCAAATTCAATCATAATTTAGTATTAAACCAAATTAAAAGGATACTCAATCCATTATCAAATGAGGATAAAAGTGAGAATAAGAGTAATTTGTAATTTTATACCACAAAATAAGTTAAATATGCTTATTTCTCTTTAAAGTCGGATTAAGGTAAAACAAACTCACAGCAAACGGTTCGCCGGCTTCCTGTATCACGTAGCCCTCGATCACGTGGGTCAGTATGTTCGGCTTAACCATTGCTTTCGGTAGGCCTTTGTCTGTTCGAATAGTAACAATATATGAAATTGTTTATACAATATAGATATATATACAATTATAAACTACAACAAATAATATTTTTCTTACAATAAATATAAACACAGACAGATGGGGACAGATTTATTACATCCTATGAAATCTGTCCTTCTAATTTATGTCTTTATAATCTCACTTTACATAATACACATTTTTTCTATTTAACTGCTAAGGCAAATAAGCTGTCGGCCCACCTGATGGTAAGTACCATGTACATGAGCAGTACCTCAGACAACACGTTATCATGTGACCATTGTGGTAATCACGTGTTGCCATTTCGGAGGACTAAGAAGTCATGCTTTCGGATTATGTAATTTCACTACATTCCTCACCTTTATAACGAAACATATCTTAAAAAAACAAGCTGTTTGCCAGCTAAAATAAGTGTGAGTAATAATGCTGACTGTCTGTACTCAACAAACATCTGCAGATTTTGTGAAGCTGAAGAGAAAACGCCACTACACATCTTATGTGGTTGTACCCTGAGGAGATAAAAACCATCACTCCTAAAAATATCTTTCAATTCTTGTTCCTGGATAGTCTAGGTAGCCAACTTAGAAGGGCAAGCACTATAGATCTATGTAGGTCTGAAGAATTTGACAAAAGCATCAATAAAATAAAATGTTAATTGAGATAATTACCGTAAAAAAAATCTTAGTTATAAATAGTTTTAATTAAAATATTTTCCACTTTGTTAGTTGATCTGAACTCACCATGAGTGGCTGTTTGACTAATATGTCTGGGCGTGCACTGAGTGCTTTTAAAAAGCGCAGAAGTTCCACCAGAGGAAACAGGCGCTGTAATTGCAGCCGTCATTGTAGCAGAAGATGTTGTTGACGAGGCTACAGTTGTCACCACCTGTGTAGTATAAGATGAGATATGATGTGGAGATAATTGACAACTATCACCAGGCTAACATGTTCTAATTACATATCTGTAATTAAAATAAAAAATAAAGTGTATGGAATATATCGCAAGCATATATTAATTGTATATTTATAATACAATAGCTACAGGAGTAAATACTCTGACATACTTGTAAAATAGTTTAAGATATGTTCTATAAGAGATATAAAATGTATTAAGCACATATCACAATACAACAATAACAATGATAAAGTACTAGCTGTCCCAGCAAATGTTGTTTTGCTATATAACTTAATAAATTAAAAATAAGAGTGAAAAATTAGGAGTTGTAGATGTATTTTAAAATTCCAATGTAATAAATAAAGAAAAGGAAATTCGTAATTTTTGAAGCTAGATCGATGATACTTTTTTTGGGTTAGATTTATTCAATATTTTTCTTTATTTGGTCAAGCCCACTATTCAACGAGGACTAAGTTGCGGGCACAGCTAGTCGTATATATGGGTGACATTACCAGTTTTACCTGTGGAGCGACTGGCGTAGTTTGTTGTGCGCTACTGGGCACTGGCGCAGTCGACGTGGCCACCGTTGCCGTCGTGGATATTGGAGTCGCCTCACGCGGCGGACTACCAGCCGGTTCAATCTTGGGCTGACTTGCTTTTGAGGTGTCAACTGGGGTAGGTGGACCTGGACATAGGAGGTATAGTTATTACAGCAGCTAGTTAAAGTCAACTCAGTTGACCTAACAAGAAGGCACTTCAATTTATAGGACTTCCTGTTTTTATTTGCTTATATTTAATTATAACACAAACACTTAAAACATAGCTAGGAACTAGATGTCGCTGTATGGATCATGAGATATATACGTACCTTAATTTAATTTAAACTATATATTTATATCTCATTTTACTATATAATTTCTTAACCATATTCAACTATATTTATTACTAGCTGTCCCGGCAAACGTTGTTTTGCCTTAAAATAAAAATAAAAAAATTAGGGGTGGACTACCCCTAACATTTAGGGGAATGAAAAATAGATGTTGGCCGATTCTCAGATCTACTCAATACGCTCACAAAATTTCATGACAATCGGTCAAGCCGTTTCGGAGGAGTATGGGAACTAAAACTGTGACACGAGAATTTTATATATAAGATATTTATATTGTCTGTCTATCATTCGTGCACTACCACTGCCCCCGCCAATTACCATCTAAGTCTCAGCGTTAGGTTGGCAGGCAGAGATAAGGACAATCTTTCTCACATTTTAAACAATTATATATTATTTTAAGTGATAAGTGCAATAAAGAGTAGGTATTTAATAATTCCCTTCAGAATATTAATAATTAACATTAAAGTTCATGTGACATGATGTATGATACTTACCGAAGTTAGCTGTACTGGTAGATATAGCAGCATCGACAGTGGTGGAGGTACTGACTGTGGTCGGCGTTGGGAGGGAAGCAGTCGAGGTGAATGCAGGTGTACTAGCAATTGGTAATTCCGCCGATGCCTCCGGTGCGACCATCTGTTGTGGTGCGATCTGTTGCACTACTGGTGCCTGCTGTAGTATTTATTTCATTAATTTAGCTGTCTTACCTAATATTATAAACGCGAAAGTTTGTGAATATGAATAGATGGATGTAGACACGTATGGATGGATGTTTGTTACTCTTTCACGCAAAATCTACTGAACCGATTTCGATAAAACTGTACAGTTATACAGCTTATATATCAGAATACATAAAATTATTTCATTACGAATACCATTTCTTCCTGTACTATGTACATTACCTTCGATTTACTATTGATAATTTTTGAACTTCAGATATACTAAGTATATATAATATTAATTAATTAATTAAATTATATTATCTTAAAGTGTTCATAAAAACTTTTATTAATATAGGTAAAAATTTATACATAGTAAATCACTTACGGGGGGCGGCATTAGTTGTCCTTTGTCATCTTCGGTCTTAACATGTGCTACCAGTGCTGTGGACGGTTGCAGTGGTAGTACGGACCCTTGTACAGGCGCTGCGATCAACCCCACGGTACCCTGCGCCGCTTGCAACGTCAACTGCGGTGAACTCATGTTATTCGCTGACACCTATACCAAAATATTTTAGTATCAATATATTGTATTATGTTTTAACGATTCAATAGTATTGTCAGAATGTCTTTACAGCTTTTACCTCTTAAGCAAGCATGTTGCTTGCGAATAAGTTCAAAATCAGTTGCATTATGATTTTAAATTAACACAAATAATACGAATTCATATTTTGTTAATCAGAAACCTTGAATTATATAAATCAAAAACTTATATAAATAAAATATCTTAACTATCATTACATTTACAAACAAGTCAAACACATGCAATACTAAATTTTCAATCATTTGCACTGCAACTACATGCATTTTTATGTTCCTTAGACATACAATCACTCAATTACAATTACAAAACTTAACATGCAATATCTACAATTCAAATATACGGATATATTTATATAATCAAAACTATACATAAGTAAATTTAAATGTTCAAGTTTACAAGATAATTATAAATGCTTAGGTAACATCTCATCATCATCATCATCATAGTCAAATATAAGGGGTTAATATGTAAACAATTCTGTTCTTAAATTAATTATTTACTTTGAAATCTTAAATACTTATCTTTATTTAAAAAAGATGACCAAGAATATTTATATTATATTATAAAAAAATAACTAATACTTCCGTATTAGGAACGGTCAACAAAATTACTTTATTATAATATAGTGACTGTAATATGCTACATCTTAAAATAAATAAGAGCAAACAAATAACCCAATTCTACATAAAAACCGAAACAGAATTCTGACGATATATTCAAAATTTATTTAATTTCAAACATATTATACATATGGGACACAAACAAAAGAATCTGTTGCAAGGAAGTTGAATTTAGCATAGATAAGGTCATATTAAACAATATCACTCTACTGATTTAATATATCAAATATAATATAAAAACATACGAAACTAAACATCCTAAAATAATGGAAACTTTTGCTATATTCATATTCATTCATTAACATTCAGATTATACTATAGAAAACGCACAAATACATGCTAATATACAGATAACTACTCTGTATACTGAATAGAGACAGAACAATACTTCTATAACTTCTACTACTACTACGTTACAAAAAACATGCATTTTCAGTTACACATATTATTCGTATTCAGTTATTATATGTACCATAGAACATAAAATATAGCTTTATCAAAATGACATATAAATATTCAGGTAGTCCGTGCAATATTAATGGTATACTAAAAGACTATATTAAACATATAAAAATATATTCATTTTTACCTAATTGACATATAAAAAAATATGTTAAATATAATATAATAAGATGGGGTACTACTCGAGGTCGGTAATGAATATAGATTTATTTGATAATCACAATTATTTATAAATAATACTAATGTTGTAAACAACTAAAAAATTAAATATATTTTCTTCATTTTTTTAAAGAAAGTTAACCAATAGTTACAGGTACGAATAAAATACAAACACTACAGAATATTTTTTCATTTCCTATTACAAATATATTTAGTAGTATTAGGGAATAAATAATTAATTAATAAATACACAAAGTATTTTATAATTGTTTTGCAAAATAATTATGGAATTATTACTTGTATAACATTCTATTTTTCTGCGTATCCTGTAATAATTATAGGTTATATTTACCTTTAAAATGTTAGCTTAGCCTTCATTTTCTAAAAACATATTTAACTATAAACTACACATGGTTCTATAATCGAACTATACCTTCACCAGTAAAGGGTAAACCGCCTCCTATTACTTCATTTCATTACAGACCACAAGTACATATAATTTCTTCAATTAATAAAAAAACAAAACAACATCAATTTGGTACCAATGATTATTATTTAAAATAAAAAATCATTTTGTTACTTTCAAGTTAATACTATGATTTCTTTAAAGCAACATTGGAATTTGTATATTATTGAAAGTGGATTTGAAAATGATTGCAAATGGATAATCATATAAATATGTTATTAACTACATACATAGATAATTTTTCGATGCACAATTTAGTCAGTATCATATCAGTTGTTTCTAGTAGATAGATCTAGCTATTTCTAGTAAACTATTAATCTTTTCAGTAAACAGGGTTATTGCCTATAAAAATGGCTATTTTGAAAATAGTAAATTACCGTATATTTGTACTCTAAAATGTACTATATAATAACACTGAAATAATTGTCATATTTCTTAATTATAAAGATCTTTCCAACCGTAATTATATAAGTCAATATGTTTATGAAATGCGAAAAATAAAGTATATTTAGATGACAACGGTGGTAATGTAATATAACAATGTATGATATTAAATTTTACATATTGATACAACGAAATTCATATTGAGATATAATATATTTTTGATTGTTATATTATACACCTGTTGGCAAAAAGAGACCCACACATAGAGACTATTACTCAAGGACTACATATGTATATACTAGCATATAGTACGCTATGGTTTGTCTTATCTTGAAAGTAACAAAACTATATATGGTGACATTGAAAGAACGCTGTTGTTAAGTTTCTACCTCGTGGTGAAGTATTGCCGGCGAGACCTGTACAAGAGGCGCGGACAGCAGCGAAGCACCCTCAAGCGCGAGCCCCGGCTGCCAACGTTACTACCACTCAACTTGATATCCGATAATACTTATACACATTCATGTATACGTATATCTTATACTTATACTATACTTAGGTAGACCGGCAGGAAAATATTAATATAATATGATACATATTAACTTTAAAATTCTTCACTTTAAAGGTATATTTGATGTCAGATAATGTGAGGCTTATTAGGCTATTATAAGTTATAATAATTTATATAAGTTATATGTCATTGGCATCTATATAACAACTTACTAGACTATGGACATTTAACTAACGAAACATATTTATTGAGAATTTGATTAAATATATAAGGAACAACAGGTTTGGTATATAACAAAAATGTATTAATTATAATTATTAAGTACCTATTTATTTACTCTATAAATTTTATAACATATATAGTAGTAAGTACTTTTCGGGGATATGAATAAAAGCAGAATATAGACTATACTTAATATATACTATAAATATTTAAATATCAAGCCTATAAGTTTATATTATAATATAGATATTATTATGTACTTTTTAATAGGATTGTATATAATGGAATATTAAAAAGCTACTACCGCCCTGATATGGCAAAGAAACTATAATAAGTTAAATGAAACATTGTTTTATCAGTAGCAAAGAATAAATTAGGGTCAGTATTAAAAAAATATATAATGAACAACTGTTTATTAATTACAAGCAGTTTTATATTCAAAAATATATTATAAAAATAACACTGTTTAATAAAATAAGAACCAACTATATACCGGAACTGAAATGTACACTAATATTAAAAGATTAAATGCAATTTATGTGAATTTATGTACTACATATGGAGAGCCACGATCTCAGCTATCACGATTTCAGATCTACAACTACATAAACGCTCCCTTGAAACCCATGGTGATTAATTCTTAGTAGATTTGCTACGATGAGCTAATTAACTGTTTTCCCCTGGATTCCCGTCAGCATATACCTTTCGTGTTTAGCGTAGGTGTATGCATGCGTAGTACATGTATCTTGATGGACGGGAAGAGGATTCTTACTAATGGAGTTTTATTAAGTCTTGGTGAAAGCAGTGGACATCTATTTTACCAAATTCCAAATCGATAGTATTAGTATAGTTGTTCAATTTTCTTAATACCAATTATTGTTTCTGTTGGATTACACTCTTTAAGACTTGTTCTGTGCAACATAAAAGCCATATTAGTGCGGTAACTCTTTATTTAGTGTTATGTAGCATATTCTATATGTATAATATACTAAGTACACATACTTGCACACTATCATTCTATTTGTACAAATACCACACACACTCTTTTTAGTTCACTCATAAGCATTTTATAGAGGTAGGTGACAAGCTCTTGGCAAATATACTACTGAGTTATACAAATGCAATTACACTTTCTTTTAAGTTAGAATATTGCAATATTCGACAGGTACTATTGTACTGGAAATATTATACATTATTAGTCACCTGTAATAATTTATATTGAACAGCAGCATAATTGTGTACTAACCGGTTGCATAGGTGTAGTATGGTTCATTGGTGGTTGTTGTTGTACTGCCATGCCCACTGAAGTCTGGACTAGACCGCTTCCTACCAGCGTCTAAAGCGATAAATAGTTAATAAATTAATTAAATCCAAAAGCGGCATTGGATAACGTTTCATTCAATTATCTCCTGTATTTTTTATACTAGCTGCATCAGAGAACGTTATTTTGATTAAAACTTACTTTTCAATATACAATAATATTATAACTTAATTATTGAAATAAAAACTATTTAACTTATTTAATTGGACTAAATTACGCAATTCATTTAAACAGCCGAGAATAATCGGAGTACAACCCTAACAAACATCGTGACGCGAGATTTAAAGCTAAAGACTAAGTTTATAAAGATGGATAATAAAATCAAATCAAATCAAATTTTGGCATTTTATTATATTGGTAGTTGCACTAGTGTTACCCACTTACTAATAACTATACTTCTATGTTGGGTTGACTGGTAGAGATCTCTTTTAGAGATAAGTTCATCTTTGCTCACTTTGTATATAATTAAGTTTACTGTATTTAAAGGTGCAATAAAGAATATCATAAGTTTCTGGTTAAAAACATACTTGGGGCTGCTGCTGCAACGTTTGTACTTGAGCCAGGGATGCGTTTTGCGGTTGTTGCGCAGCATTAATTTGACCCACCAGGGTACCAGGTTGCGCCATACCACCAAGCTATATAAAGAGGAACAAGTGAATAAAAATAAAGCAAAAAGAAAAAATTGTACAATTATAAGTTACTTTGCAAGGCATATTTATAACATATTATCGTCCGGTGAACAAGTAATACATTTCGGATAGAGTACTTTAATTATGATTGAAAGAGATGTGATCATTCTTACTTACCGGATGTATTTGTTGCACCATCGATATAGTTTGCGGCATCCCAGTCATAGGCAAGGACTGAGCCACCGACCCCACTGGTAGAGCCCCTTGTTGCATACCCAACGCCATTCCTAATGGATATTAAAATGGAATTATAACAATTTTTATACAACTTCTAGCTGTGCTCGCGATTTCAGCCGCCATAAATTGGAATAAAAAAATGTAACATATGTGTTATTGTAATACACATGCTATATTACAGTACAGTTTCATTAAAATCCGTTAAGTAGTTTTTTAAAGAGTTACTCTTTCAAAAACTTCCATACTTACAAACCTTCGCATTTATAATATTAATAATAAAATATACAAGTATTAGCGACGTCCTAACAAGAGAGAAACCCAAGTTCATTTCATTGTTAAGTTACACAGGTAAATAATTATTTACTTGTGTAACTTATTATACAATTGTATATCGGACAATAATTGTAATATAATAGACTAATTCACCTTGTTGGTAATGTTGAACAATTTGTTGTGTTTGCTGTTGTTGTTGTTGGTGCAGTAATTGTTGCTGCTGTTGTTGTTGTTGTTGTTGTTGCTGCTGCTGTTGTTGCTGTTGTTGTTGTTGCTAATGTAACAGGAAAATAATAAATCAAAAACAGATATCTATAAGAAATTAATTAAAAATGTAATTATTGAAGAAATTAATTTTAAAACCTATAATAACCGAATGTAAGATAAACAAGGCATTATAGCAAGTGTTCCATTTATAAATCTATATGTTTACTAGATACTAAATACAAATACAAATATCTTTATTTTGCCTGAAAAGTGGTTTACAGGATTGTAAAAATTATAATTTATGTATCACATTTTTCACCAGAAACTGGCATGCAAAAATTAACAGTGTCCATTTATTATTATTATTATACTAGGTACTATATTACTAAAAACGACATTTAATGAAATTAAAAGTTGTGCAGAATGAGGAACTCATTTCCACTTTATTTCACCTGAATATGAAAGGTGACGTGAGACGCAATTAGCAGGGCGTCTATTTAATCTGGATTATTGAAATCTTAAAAAGATTGAAATAATCCAGATAAAATAGACGTACTTAAAGAAAATAAATAAAAACTATTATTTAGGATATCTTTGTACCTGTAAAGCTTGTTGTTGAAATAACGCCTGCTGCTGTAGAGTTTTGTTAATAGCTTGCTTGTCTTGGACGCTCGTAATCATCTGCCCCGATGCATTCATCACCAATAACCTGAACACAGTTGTACGTAAAATATAAATTATGTTTAACATTAATTTATACCATTAGTATAATAAAAAATATATTACTGTTGTTTAGGTTGTTGCATCTGATGCTGCATCTTATTCGTCTGATTAGCGGCATCCTGCTTCGATGCGGGTGCAGGTGACCGTACACCAGGCTTTCCACGATGTTTCGCCTACAAGTTACATAATGTTACACATTATTAAAAAAATATTTAATTTAAACTAAATTAATAGTCATAATGGGTGGTTATTGAAACATACCTGATTTTGAGCCTGGTTCGCACTGGTTTGGGTAGAAACAGACGAAGCTGGTCTTATTCCCGCAGAGGGCAGTATGTTGGAAAGCGGCCGTGGCGGTTTTGTCATCGCATCCGCGGAAGCCCGAGGTTTTGTCACCGTACCAGTAGCGCATGCTACGCTGGCATCTGTAAAACAATAGTTAATTGTATAATTATGTCAACATCACAATAATTATTAAAAAAAAATTAAGTGCATACAATACGACAAGAAAAGCATAAGTGCATATCTGATGGATATATATAGTATAACATGCGTATATGTTATATAACTTATACAGAAATATCTAGAAAAAAATTCGCGTATGCAATAAATATACAATCGCTAGGTACAACAAAAGCAGAAATAAGTTAGTAAACAAAATGAAATCTTAACATCTATGTATTAAAGTACAATAATTATAGATACTAACTGTTATGCTGTAAAGTGTTCTGCGGTGAATGCTGAATAAACATAGAGGGCTGAGCATCGGGCTGGGTGCCCCTTATGAAGATAGGGTTGGGTGCAATAAGACCGCCGGCAGGCAGAGTACCAGTCTGGAGACCCCCAGTCCAGACTTGCGGCAATGCCCCAGAGAACTGCCACGGCGCTAACTGCATCGTTTGACCGCCAGTCTGTGCCAATATTAAAACACTTCGATCACTCGTTATTCGCGTTAGTTTCTATATAAAACTAGTAATTTTATTATATATTGGTACAAACACGGCTATATTATTTGAAATATTAAATTCCAGTACCTATATTTGTCCATGTTTTTATTCATAAGTATAATAAAACAGATATAGAGAATTGAGAAAATAATTTCTCTAAAATAAATACACAGACAAGTAAAGAAATATTATTTAACATATTTCAAATTATCTATATGTATATTATCTATAGTAAGCCTTATTGGACACAAAGTATTTTTGTTACAGAGAAGTATTTATTTTATTAATATATTTTAATAAAAGCTAAAGAAAATGATAAATAAAAACTAATAACAGCTTAAATCACATAAACACGAATAAAGTAAACGATATAAAAATTAAAATTTTTAATATCAATCAAATCACATTCATGTATCTATTATGTATCTATATTCTTTTCGCATGCTATACAATGGAAAATAAAAAATAACAAGTTATTTTTCATATATTTATTGTTATATTCAAAACACAGGAGTTATTTAAATTATTCCATTCTTTGGAATATCTTCATGTACTCGTTTTTTTTGTTGGCAATGACACTAGATAGTAAATTTATGAATAATCTAAATAAAAAGTCCGACTGGTTTCTTCAATGCTAAAAAATTTTACCAACAGGAAAAAATAGAACGATTCAAATTTATTGATCTTACCTCAAGACAGAATCATCTTATTGTCATACAAAATGCAGAACTATATTTTAAAATTTATAAGATGATAATGTGGTCCAAAAAAATAAACAGATAAAACAACTTTATTACGCAGTCACTTCGCTTTGTGAGACATATTCGCAACAGGCGCACATTACAAATTTATTTAAGTGTTACAATTATACTTTCATAGTTATTTAAATTTTTATTATTCCACCATTTTAAAATACCGTACATACTGAAAATATTGTACATACAATCATGATTTGGCGATTTAATTGATATATAACATGCAACGATAAAATAAAAAAAATTAAATATAAGAAACAAAGATACATATCTTTCAATGATAATATGAAATGAGAATTTAAAATTATATTATAAATAAATATAAATGTAATAAATTTAGTGTTGCAATAATTATAAAAAAATTATTCAATAATATGTATATACATAAGTATGTGTATAATAATAGTATGACGTGAGTACACACCTGTAGTGGACTAATGATCTGCGCCTGCGCCGGTTGTTGCGCACTAAGCACGGGCTGAGAGACTTGCACGCACTGCGCCTGCACGGGCACAGTCTGCGCGTTGGCTCCATTAGCAGTACCCACTTTGTTAGCAGTGACTTTGCCACCACTCATTACCTACAACAACACGATTTCGTTTAACTTTATAATATATAAAATAAATCAAATAAATAAAATCAAAATTAAGTGTAGTCATCCTGTAGTATAAATTCGTTTCACACTTAACCGATTTTCTGTCAATTCCTTGGTATTTTACTACTTATAATACTATATATTGTTTTTAATACTTACTTAGTATTCTTTCAATGTAAAGGAATTGACAGAAAGCATGGCTGAAGAATTTAATCTTATACAAATCAAAAACAACTGTTGATGCCTTCGCCTGAACTAAAAATAACTGGTAATATATGTAAGCGTACTTATAAGATTACCTTGTGCATTTCAGCCGGCTTCTGCTGCTGACTTATTCCAGAGACGGTGGGCTGCGAATGTGCTGGCAGGATGCTTGGTTGCGAATTTATCACACCCAAAGGACTGAACACGAAGGTTTGATTCTGGGTAGTCGGTATCGCTGGGATTGTGGTGTATCCAGGGAATGGAGCTGTTTGAAATTTTTTTCATATGTAAAATTAGATTACACAAACCACACATTACGAAGCTTACTAGGTAGATATTAAAATTGAGTTGAAACTAGACAATCGACGAATCCCTCGCTGCTCATGCATTGAAATCAAACCAAATATACATATATAATTATTCAGTATATGATAGAGATTAGATTTCTTTATTTAATTCTTAGTCAATACCAGCCAGTTATTTGTTTATTTAAATTAGCCCAATGACAAATATTGCGGTGTGGACTATATATACTCTGAGTGCAAATGGCAGCTCACATGGTAGCCGTTGTTATAAAAACCACACCATTTAGTAAAACGACAAAAAGCTGTTTAGACTTCAAAAATCTAAATTAGTATTAGAGTGCAAATTTATTATTTTTGTAATGTAACAACATTGTAATGTATTATATACCTATAACCCAGACCGTGCTATTATGAACTATATCTTCTTTAATATAAGACTAATATTGGATACCAGTACGATATGGTACTGCACCAGGTTAGTAATTTTTCAAAACGACGTTTATAAATAGTTTAGTAAAAGTGCATTAACAAATAACTCATGCATTGAATGTATCAAAAAGAATTTCAAAGTAATAACTGTCGTTTAATATCTATGTATATTTAGCATTCGGAATAATTGTAAAGGAATTAACTCTTCCAATGTATTTTCTAAAGTGTGTTACAAATGTACATATACATATATCATGCCATAACCATAAAAAAAACTTGTCAATGTGCTTTCAAACTAGTGTACAGTGTATATAAATTATTATGTTTTAGATCTTAACAATAATACTCTACTGACCTTTAATATTTTTTAATATACGTATGTATATATTTTTATATTCACATGTGCTATGCTGACTTTAATTTTTAATAGTAATTGAGATCTCATTTTACGTTTGCGTCGGTGAAAATAGGTTAAGTTTCCATCAAGTGTTACGTGCAACGATATGATTGAAATGCGTTAAAGCTAAACAATAATAAGCTGCACTTGCAATGGATAATGTGAAAAATGATATTTTAAAAAGCGAATGGCTGCTTATTTTTGTACAGTTATATCTAAAGACTTCAAAAAAGCTTTAAATGAATCCCAGACGAAATGCCAATTAAATTAAATTTAAACAAAGAAAAAAATATGTCCCCCAAAAATAAAGTCACATTCACGTAATCCAATCACGAGACCGGAAACAAATATAACAATTCAGTCTTAAAAATGTATAAACCTTGCTCCTGATATGTAGTGAGACCTGCAAAATTTACTGAAAAACTAAATAGTGTTGAAGTTCGTAGCCCTTATTCCATAGAAAATATTTTTAAGTTTTAAATATTTTTGTGATGATCTGGTTTAATGACAAAGTTTAATTCAGATTTTTTATTATGTTAATACAGTTGTTACAGCGCTTTAAATCAATTGTCCCAAGGGAAATAAGTTAGGAATGAATTATATTTGTATTCGCTATATTTTCTCAAAATAAGATCTAAAAGCTTGTGTGTAAAAGGTACATAAAAATGACATGATGTAAAAATATTACACAAATATTATTAATTGCATAGATATGTATTATTTTCATAAACAATAAGTGTGAATATGCAAATGTGATGGTAAATATATTTTTAAATCTAAGGTAGATATGAGGAAAGGCAAGGGGAATACTTCATATGAAATATAGCATTAAAAATTGCACATTTAAGGTATATAATATAATCATATTTAATAGACGTCATTTCATTTATCAGTAATTTGTTTAACTAATATAAAAAAAATATTTACTGTAGTTGGAAAGCGGTCAACATATCCAATATAATAAAATTAGATTATGATTATCTAGAATTAAATTAAAAATAAAATCATTATACTTAATGAGATACCAATATTTATATGTCAAATCAGATGGCAAGCTGGAAAGACTAAAAAAATTAACATATGTGATATTCCTACCCCATATTAATATTAAAATCTATAGTCACAAAGATGATGTCCACTTTAGTCTTTTGCAGTGGTCATATAGCCTTATCTTTGTCTTATATATAGAAATCTTTATGTCTTATATATAGAATTAAAAAATAGAATAGAATATTGACTGTAATTTGTAGACCGCAGACCACTTTAAATTTATTTTTATTAGATCATTTTATGTATGTTAATTCGTAGTTAAAACTCAATACAATTTGTTATCAAGAGACAGACAATACGTGACGTAAGATACACCATAATGGCAGCTAAATGGTGCTAGTCCCTGAATACTAGATTATTGCACAAGTAAAAATTAATAAATGAACTTACCAGCTTGACCCTGAAGTACTTGTTTACCCTGCGTAGTCAGCATGTGAGGTGCAAGTTGATTACTTTGGAACGGTTTGCCGGCAGCAATAACCTGGTGTGGAGTCATTTTGTAATAGAATGAACAGGAAGTAAATATATATACCTATACGTTAATAAATTGTATTGAAACAGTTCGAATATTGAAACTATCCTAACTTAAAGGCTTTATAATATTAGTATTATATTCAAATTTAATTCATAATATGTATACAAAATGAAACATGAAGTTACATTACAGATTATAAAATTGGTTTAAAAAAACTATAATCATTGCAAATGATGACAACAACAATGCAAAATAAATTAAAATTAATTACAAGTATTTCAAATAACATACTTTAAACTGAAAAATTAATTATTCACTGTATTTTTTATCTCGAATGTACCGTATTCGATGAGCATCTAAATGCAATGACATTCTTTATAGGTTAATATGTGGATATCATATTCTTGATTGACCTCTACACCGAGCTGCCTACTATGTTGCTGTATGTTGTTATGTAAATTCACTGATATCCAGTACATATGTACTAACCTGTATCTGTTGTGAGTTGATACCAGGATGTAGCGGCATCAGTAGCGGACCCTGCGCATTGTATAGCTGTTGCAGATACGTGTTGTTTTGTAGCGGCTGCTGAATAACTTGCACTCGACTGTGACCCCATTCAGCACTGGCGAACATTAACAATAATTTAGACTCAAAAATAATAAAATAATAGAAACCCTTTAGAAAAGATACGAATGGACAACTGCCAAAGTCATGAAATATTATTTCTTAAATACCGTAAAATATTCTTTGTAAAGAAAGCAAGAAAATATTTTATTGATAACTCTCATAAGGTATACAGAAATAAACATGTATATTATAGCATTATCGTTATCTTATGGATGACTTTATTTCAGTGTCAGAGTTCAAGAATTGCCCAACAGTGGGGTTTTAAAATAAGATTTACATACTGTAATTATATTTTGTATTAAGAGTCAGAAATAGCATATATCTGAAATTAAAAAATTGTATCGATTTATATTCAGATCTGCTTTAGATACTGTTTGATGGAAATGAAATATTTTAAAGATTACTCTTTATTTCTTAAGATCGTTTCTTAAGATCTTAAAACGGGCCTCAACATTTTAAATTATTATTCTACTAATTTAAGCAAGTATCATATGAAAGTCTTTAACTTCTACATTTTATACTTGCTTTCATTATAGTGGTATTGCTTTAGAGTAGTAATTAAAAACCATCCACATCCAAAAAAGTATCTGTAATAAATATCTGTGCAGTACGAGTACGAGTCGCACTTTACTGATCGTCTATTTATTTGTACTTTTATGTGACTCACTAAATTTATTTATTGTTACCATGACACTGCAAATCGTCGGTTGTTATATTTAAAACTGAGTCATACAATAGACATACAGAGATTGTACTCTCTGACTTCGGAGACGTAATATAGTATATACGGTACAGTCCTCAGGACTGACAAGGCACGAGTGATACTATCTGTGTCGGTGTATCAAACAACTAGATTGACATATACATAATAAATGTAACGTAAATGAGATAAACATGATCGCTCTTCGTTATTAGCTCATTGGTAAAGTGCGATAAAATACAAAAAAGTATTCAAAGGAGAACCACTTAAAACGTTTCCAGACGGCGATAAAGTTCGGAAATCAGACCGTTGACTGGTGATAGCCTTCAACTTCTCGTGATAAAGTCTTATCGTCACATTTGTAAAATAGCAACAGACTTTTATTAAGTAGGAATCCTTTGAAGGCCTCATATACATAAAATATTGAGGAGACAACATACAGTACCTACTCTCAAATAGAAAAACCAAACCAGCGAGGAAAATGCGTTTAAAATTTATCCACTTTCCTTTTTTTATTTTTGTGTATTTGTTGCTGACACAACATTCTTTAATCGATCGAAAATTACTTACGAAAACTACGTCAGCAAAATGAGTTGTTTTTCCCCCGATCAAGCATATAAGTGTATACTATATGAATGACCAAAACTATGTCAACGCTGACAAATAAATTAATGTCAGTAAATTAACTAAATTAATTATTTTTCCCAATTTACAGATAATAAAACGATAATAATGTACCTATTCTTATAATATAACTATCACACAAACTGCCTGTAATGATAAGATCATAAGTAAATGTATATTCTATGAATATGAAATGGCGAAGTCAGGTCAGTTAGCCACCATGTCGAATTATTTAAATAATTGCGTCCCCCCCCCCCCCCCCTGGAAACCAACATGATAAATTCCTGAAGAATTTGCCACTATAGATTAACTGACCTGATCTCATGCATATGTTAGCGCAGGCGGAAGCATCATTTCATCATCAATTAAAAAAATAATAGAGAAGTATGTAATATGAACTTAGATAAAATATAAAGGAAAAGTACTACCGAATGAACGAAAAGATGGATAATGTGAAAGATGATATGCATAAAAGGACAGTAGCCTCAGATATGATGGCCGATAGAGATCAGTGGAAAATGCCCCAATAATGGAATAAAGGCAAGGCAATGCTGATGATTAAAGTTGTAGTAATCATACCTAATTTGCTGCGGATGTTGAGCGGTGGGTGGTAGACTTTGTAACGGCGGCATAGTGGAGATGCCAGCTCCTGCTTGCTGCTGGATGCCAGCAGCTGTCGGTTGCTGCTGCTGTACCTAAACGAAACAATATGTTTTAATTTAAAACGTTACGACTGTAATAGACACGGTTTGATATAAAGTTTATACAGATTCAACATTGGCATTTAAAAATGTACAAAAAAGGCAAACATGCATTTCTTATAGAAGTTATCAATTTAGCTATTATTGATCTAATGTATCTATACATATCAGTACATATTCGAAAATAAAAATTAGCTAACTAAAGATAAAGAAAATACCAGATTGTTCCAGAAACAATCATTGGATTATAAGAAATAGTGATCGCCCAATGGACATATATCGACCATATTTTATTTAAATAATTGCGGTCGCTTTTTGAACATTATTCAGGTTCTATTGTAACACTTCCTTTACGTATCAATATATATATAGATTACTTTGATAACAGTACAGAACCAAAACTCGATTGTTCTGTTTTGAGAATTAACAATATTGACATTATTTGATATTGATGTTTTGTTATCAGTCGTGTAATATAATGCAAGTGATTTAATGTATTTTAATGCATAATTTAAATAATATATTAGGATTTAGCACTCCTTCCCTATACAGCAATTTTTGTATAATGATATATAATGAAGAAGGTATAGAATAATGTCGGAACAAGCAACAACAAACAATAACAACAACAAGAAGTACATCAATTTTAAATACTAGTAGTCACGCGTCAACGATATAGCCCGTCAACTGCATGATACGCGGTGATGTGATAATGAAATGAGGATGTGAAGTAAGCATAAATTAAATGTACAGTAACATACTACTCTTTAATAATAATGAAATTTTACATAATTGTTAATTAGAATTCCTGCGGATATCGATATTAGACAGATATGAAAATAGATAAAATATATTGTACCTATAGTTTTCTCACGTTGTTTTCTTTGTTGCCTAGTAATTTGATATCGTAACGACTAAATATTTGATAAAATATCACTATTAGGTCAGCATGAATTCAAAACATAAAAAAAAATATTTAAGTAATGTTGTTCGAAATCATATTATAAAAGATATTGAAATACTTAAAGACGAAGTAGATTTTCGGTTTATGTACTTTTTAATACATCTCTCCTCTCCTTGTTGGAGATTGCTAGAGCTACATGTAATAGCTATTATAGTTCTTTCGGCAGTCAATACACTGATTTATTTAAATTAAAACATTATTAATAAAAATGTAGGTATTCTTGACTGGCGATGCTTAGTAAATTGTTGAGTCTCATATGAATTTCATTAACATTAAGTAGTTCTGTATTGTGGAAATAATTTGAAGTCAGCACAGTATAGTTAACCGATCAACGCATTAAATATTGCGTAAGGATCCCCTTGTTACTTAATTAAGTAAACAGTTTTATGTAGTTACTCATAAAAACTAGACAATACTAACTTTACATAAAAAAATACTGATGCCCAAAAAGACTAAAAGGACCAATAGCTAAAATAGATATATATGATATGATATAATATGTATTTTATTATTGTCCATACAAAATGTATTTTATATTCTGCCAAAATTATCACTATTGAAAATTATCAAGAAACCAGTGCTACTCACTGGCGCCCATGCCTTACTTCCTTCTGTCTCGGAGTTCATAATACCCTGCACAAAGTTTATATCAACAAAGAGTTTTTAAATATTTACGAAATAATCCCAACAGCTATTAATAACAATAGAATGTAACAAACCTGATGTTGTGCCATGCTGCTTGGCATGGATGACACGACGGTGACGGTCTGATGATGCTGCTGGTTTGGCTCGTGCTGTGCCATACTCATCTGTTGCTGTACCACTTGAGTTTGTCCGTCTACTATCTGCACATATTATACATATATACAATTAGTATATCACACATACAACACTATTGCGCATTGTACTCGTAGTCTTTCTAAGATTATTTCGCATAAATTCGAAATTTTCCAAGGAAATTAAAAACAAATAAAAACTATCTAGATAATACATTTAATTATAAATACTTATATAGTAGCGTCACGATTAGATAAATATATAATATAGATATAAAAACTCCCATATTACCTGCCCTCAAATTGAACTATACCGTTTAGTGTACTATGTCTTAGTGCCAAGACAACCGTGTCGCGTTAATAGTAAAACCTACATATACAATTATAACTTATACATATTATTACAATATAAGCAAAAATCATTTTGAAAGTAACGACAGTATCGCAAATTACAAAGTGACAAGTTGTGTACGTGGTGCGTTAAAGGAATTTATTTTAAATATTCACTTTAACTGAAATTCATTGATTAATAAGAAATGTATTGAGTTAGAAACGATAATAAACTTTCATTGTAAACTGAAGTAAAACTGAAAATGTATAATAATAAATGAATATATATATAATAACAAAAAAAGGCGTAAAAATAAGAAGAGACTAATTCTATTATTGAACTCCAACCGTAATGGCGGAGGTCGGTGATTCGTTGTTAACCGCTCCGATGCAACGACACAAGTGTCACTTCAACTGTATTTTCCCGTTCCAATTACCCCACCACCTACCTATGATGAGGAGTGGCTGTGCCATAGACTAACCACAGACAAACATCTTCATTCTAGAGTTGTAGTGTAAAAATATGAACCTTTATTTCTAAAATATTATGGCACTATTATCATTGAATACAATGAAACCACGTCCGACCACCCGCGTGTGTACTTAAACAATGAATATATTGTGGCATATGTGCATCAAGAAACAAACACAGGATCCAGTTGTTGTTTGATTACAAAAACTGCTGATTAACGAATAAATAATGCACTGGGGTTCCATTAAACGCAGTGTAAAGGTTATACTACACAGACCGAGTGCTATTCATGTAGGTAATAAAAAATATTCTACTTTTTTCGCCACTCTATATACTGTGCGATTTTCAAATGGATTTCTGCATTCATGTTTATTAGGATACCTCATCAAAGATTAGATATTATTTATCTTTTGAATTATTCACTTCGAATTGGTATAGTATTTTTATTGTATTTACTTGTGTTTTATAATTATTTGATTTAATTCAATAACACTTGTATACCGTATACAATAACGGATTTAGCATATATATTTAGAATTAATAAATGACAGTATAATATAGTTTATATAGTTCATAATATTCATAATAATGTATAAAGTTCTATTTTCTGGGATGATTCATCACTCTTTAATGTCTTACTTAAAGCAATAACAAATATGTATATTTATAATAAATTATTTACTTTTAATAATTACTTATTGTAAAACAAAACTACTATGAAACTAGAAAGTTTAAAATGATAATTTACAATATTAGCGTAAATCTATACGTCTCTAGCGTCTCATATCCGTATATTACAAATTATTTGGTATCTATTTGCGTTGGTCTGGGTATTTCTGTATTTATAAAGCCAATATTTTTGTGTATGTCTATAAGTCATCTAGAGTCCATATAATATAAAAGCAGAACTTGTACAGCTATGTTAAGTTTGAGCTAGATGGCGCTGGATATTATGTCTAAGTTACTTATTTTATATACGGAACACCGAGCTAGGCACTATTCGAAGTCACGTCAAACTAACCGGATACGCAATTATCTAAATACCAAACGTTCAAACCGGATGATACACAGCGCACACCTTACACACGGCTCTAATGAAATATATGTAACTAAACTTTGTAAACAACATGAATTAACCCATTATATTGTGTACGTGTACACTACACAATCAATGTGATTTATAATTCTACCAGCTGTGCCTAAAAAAATAAAAAAAAAGTTACATCGTTATCCAAACATGTTCAAATGTCCATACAAACTTTCAACTCCTACTTTATTTTACCCCCTTAAGGATAAAGGATAACCCCTTAAGGATAAAATTTTTATAAACTATGAATGTCTATATTTAATCAACAGCTTAACAATAAGTTTTAAGCGCCTAGCTTTAAAATTACAATACTTCCATAAAACCTTTCGTCTCGTATTTCATGCCCTTAGAACCCTTTTTTCGAACTAAATAGTAGACTTTGTCCGTTCTGGATTATCAGTGTTCCAAATTTCATGTAAATTGGTATTTTTTATTCATCCGTGGGAAGGAACGATATACCGGCGCCTCTGTGGTTAAAACAGAACGGAAACGGGGATCGAAATTACGACAGCCTGAAATTCGAACTCCTTGTGGAGTCCTCACAATAAACAACTTGTCAGGAGGCTGTTGACCTTCAGTTACTCCGTAACTCCTACCCCTTTGTGTGCCCTCTGCACTCGCCTCCATTTAGTTCAGTGTCCCTTTACAGCATTAAGTTGTAACTTTCTTTTTATTACCATAGTAACTATATAAGACGTACGTACTACCTACCTACGTCGGTATAGGATTGTATAACCTATTTCCTTTTAAGAGCTGGTGATATATTAATACATTTAAATTGATATTTTCGTCACAAGTCACTATCATCTAAGACTCATGGATAGATATTATGATACTCGTCATCCAAACTTAAATATAAAATCCTGTTACGCTTTCAAGCCTAAGCTGCCAAATCAACTATAATGAACTATGGCACAGAGATAGATTATATAACCGACACTTATAGACCGTGGGTGCGAGAATGTTATTTATTATACGAAACATTTAATAATTCGATATGTTTCAAGTTTGAAGAATTACCTGTGTATAGTTTATAATTGACAAAAACAACATTAACTACCGCGGGTAATAAATAGCTAGTACTATTAGAAATAATAAAGCAAGCTTTGTTACCCTTAGAGGTATTAGAAGTCAGACGTGAATCACACGTGGAGGGGACTAGGGACAATAATATTTGAGCCTTGGGGGGTGGGGCGTTAAATTAATGACATTGGTGTGACAGAATTCATAGACGGCCTGTTTCGGCAATCAATCGTCATGTAATTTAAGATGGATACGTAACGCTACAAGAAGCTAGTAATAATGCAAATAAATTTGAATTTCTACGGCAAATGGAGTCATCATTCCAAGTTGCAATATATTATAAAATCAATAAAATATACTTAACATTCTTGCAGCAGGGTAATAATGCACACAGTTATACATTTTTAGTACGTTTTTAACACAGGATTATTGAGATAATTTGAACAAACTTATTACTGTATTATTACTGAATAAACCGGCGTAACTCGCACAAAACTGCTTCAACAGTTCTTTCTTTTTCCTTTCTGACCACAATAAACGCTTACATTGTTTAGAATAGCGAACATCGAATTTACGTCAGACTGTAATATGAAACTGAGGTGCGACTACATACATCTAGTTTGCATTATTAGTACTGCTAATGCAGCAATTTTGAATGTAGCGATAGCCAACCGTATAACAATGCAGCCGCGTGGGTTTAATATATCCCCATAGGTATATAACACTTAAATTGTATACTTTTCAGTTGCTTATTCGTCAATATTAAAAGCATAATTATCTTGTAATATGATAAATTATGCAACGAACATTTGAGGATACGACTAAAGTCAAACAGATCAAAATTGGATAGTATTAATTGAATTAGCAATTCTCGGTTGATATTTAGGAATATGTACCTAAATATACTAGATGACCCTGCAAACATTATATAGCCATATAAATTAAAATAGCTATTAAACATAGGGATTGATAGTAGACGGATGAAAATTCCACACAATTTTTATTCCACATTATAAATAAATTTAAAAAAATGTTATGGACAACCGTCACTAAGTGAAGTGGGTATGAAAAATATAATAGATATTAGCCGATTCTCAGACCTACTAAATAAGGATATAAAATATCATAAAAATTAGTCAAGCCGTTTCTGTGTAGTATGGTAACTAATATTGTCACACGAGAATTTTATATATAAGAAAAACAAGATACGTCATTTGTCAGTTATAAGTAAAAGTAGCTGTACGATTTGCAATCAATGAATTGTCAATAGTACACAAAGAAATCATCATTATTTTAGATGTCATTCATTCTCATTCTTGGAATAACAACACAGATGACCGGAATGTGTTCCGTGTCTCTGTGTGCCTAGTACTCTGTACACGACAAGGGGATACAAGCGCTTTCCGCTGCATCCAATTTCAGGTCCCGACGGATGCAGTCTAATGCAGATGGATGCGAGCGAATAGATCTATGCAAATTTGAGTGTACAGACAGTAAATCAATTTGTTGGTACAGTCAGTAAATCTATATGTTTTAACTAAAATTACTGCAATTAAAAAACAATATTTTTACGTAACTGGTAACAAGCTAATGGCCCACATGATGCCAAGTAGCAAACACATAACGTATTTTTTTTAACGCATCATAATGGTAGATATGATTCTCTTGCATACGCTAATGGTTTACGCTGGCGGGACACTACTGGAGGATGATAGGATATGTATGAGGTCAGGTAAGTTAGCCCAGTTGGTAAATTAATTTATCACGATGGTTTCCAGGGGGAATTGAGTGGAGGTCAACCTGAAAATGGCTGGCAATGAGCCATCAATGCACATAATAATTCCCTTCCCCCAGGACCATTATTATGTGATACACATGAGGATACGTGAACAGTGGCACTCGGCATTTATCATACATGTATAGTGGAAAATGTCATTACCATCACAGCCAGCCTTTATTAATGTAATGCCAACCAAGTTAGCCACCAGTGCAGCACTACAGATCTGAGATAATTTTGCCAGCGGGCGGGACAAAGAAACACAAGCGATATACAGTGTCGTTTCGCTTCGTTCAGCGTGAGCTACACTTGACGCATTTGACAAATTAAATTTCACCACATACCTATTAGCACTATCTTTTATTATATTTGACACTAGCTGTACCCGCGACTTTGTCCGCGTGGAATTTAATAAAAAAGTTAATTAGTTTTACTTTATTGTTCTAAAATAAAAGTAGTCTAAGTTACTCGTTATTACATCAGCTACCTACCAATATGGGTAAAAAAATCAAATAGACAGACTAAAATTGTAAAAAATGTTTATTTGGTGTATGTACCGTATTTATATTCATATGCATGTAGTAAAAACGGTTATTTCAATATTACAAACAGATACTCCAATTTTATTGATATGTTTAGATTACCCTTGAATGCTCAACTCTAACTTTGTGGAGTGCAAGCAATCCACATTTTTACTATCAATGTATGTATCAAAATGCGCGCATGGATGCATACGCGCGTTCTACGTTTTCTACGTTTATGGTCGGAAGAAGCCTTGTTTGTAAACATCATACTTCTGGCAACACCTAGAACTACAGGTATTTTTTGTCAATAAAAACTGATATCATATTAGGTGAGTGTTTTTTAATCCCAACTTATGGTCTAACTCTAAAGGTAGTACTTTGAATAATCTGGTATTAAAAATATATTTATTTATAATTACACAAAAATTAGTAGTCTAAATTTATGATTGTGACTTACTCTTCATTTTGATTTTCATTAATACCAATAATAACTCCATTGCCCCGTCTTATGAGGGAGGGAATTATAAGCAATGGGTAGTAGTGCCTAGCGACCCATTGTGAGCTTTGTAGTATCATGTTAGACCAACTAAAGGTACATGCTGTTCCACTTCTTTATAAAAATAATGTCCGCGGTTATTTCTATCTATCTTCAATTTTTTTTAACTATTTAAAGCAAATATTTTATTAATTTATGTCCTATTAGATCAATCATTATTTAAAACTAACGAAAACTTCAAATTGATGTTTTATAAATATAGTACTGTGAGAGTAGTCAGAGTACTACAAGGGTCGCACTATAAACGCTCTAGTTCGGAAGGTTCATTGTTCAGCAATATTGAAATAAATAACACCCTAATAAGTTGTGCCAGAATGTTGATGTATACAGATAAAATTAATCGGCGAAGGCATTAAATTATTACTTTTTACAACATGTGATGGTGTTAAAAACAATGACAGCCTCTACGGGAGGTAAATGTTGTAACTACATATGTTTACTTAATATCTTGACCTATATTTAACTGAACTGAGTTTCAACACTTGGTCAAAGATTTTCACTTTAAATTTAACATCGTTTTACATAAAACGATAATCCACATGTAGACAAACAAACAATAGTGAAATATTCCAAAAACCGTTCTACATTAGATATATAGAAAACTAGCTTATAAATCACATTTTCAAACTACTGCATTTAAAGATTTATTTATTTTGGTGTTTTTAATGGTTAAATCTGAAAATTTATATTTTATACCGATATAAGACGTTACTAAATTTATTAGTTTAAATAGAATAATGATAAGGAAACATGAATTGCACTTATGATTGCCACTCGAAGGCGTTAGAACTGTCAGATTTCTATTAGGAGGACATTGCACTTCTTCAATGTATAAGTGGAGAATTACTTGCGAAAGGAAACACTTGATTGTCAATTGAAGTACAAATTGTCTCTGCGGTTTATATGCAGAGTCAAATTGTGTATTGCAGTAATGCTTGGTATCTCTTTGCCAAGGAAGCTCAAATACTATTTTCATATTCGACCTACATTCTAAAATTACAGACTTGATAAATTCTATTAATGGTATGTAACAAAAATTTGATACTGACTTGTTGTGGTTTAATCTCGCCACTCATGCCGGTCTTATTCTTGTCAAAAAGCAAGTTGGTCGGAGGAGATGCCAGAAAACTTAGGTTGATCTCTCCGATGCCTGGTACGTTGAATTGTTGAGTGTGCACAGGCTGGAGAGAAATACGTTTATTTTATATAAATATATTTGTTTTTATACTATAAAGCAAATATATATATATATATATTACTTGAAATATACGACAAACTATTTAAATTTATAGAATTAACAATACACTCTTTATATATTATAACAATATATTATTAGTCTTTGAATTCTCTTTCAAAATTTCTCTCTGGGTTTTTTTTTTTTTATAATTCTATATACTAAATATGTAATTTTTTTAGTGACATACGTAACTCTACAAATAAGTGCCGACCTATTACACAGCGCCATCTTAACTCAAATTAAATAGTCTGTGCTGTAGGTACTAGCCTGATAGACATACTTTTATACACAGAAAACCAGACCATTATAAAGGCAAAATTATCCTGAATAAATGGAATATATGAATAACTAGTCGCCCCGGTCACGCGTCATTGTGGCTCACTGTATTTTTAATATTGAGGTCAATAAAACCTTCCGTATATTTAAAGTTGAATAACACACGGTAAACCAAATTTCACAACGGTTGGTAAGTAATCAGTAAGGAAACAAACATTGTGCCGCGAGATTTATAGACTTAGATGGATCATTAAAACATAATAATTATCATCAAAAACAATTCTATTACTTTAGCCTACATACAATGAATAAAATAAAAGATTAATATAATATTATAATTAAAAAACCTGTAAAAATTTTTGTTGCTGCAACTCTGGTTGCTGAGACACAGATTGTAGTTCAGTTTTCTGTTGTTGTTGTAGTTGTTGTTGTTGCTGCTGGTGTTGTTGTTGTTGTTGCTGCTGCTGTTGTTGCTGCTGGAACTGTTTCTGCAACTGAATATATACAACAATGTAAAAACGGTGTATTGAAATAAATCCAATATAGACACTATTTACTTTATTTATTCTTAATTAATATGTGTATAATATAATCAATAATTATTATCATCAATTAATTAACTTTTCACATATTTGCTAAGGGCACTATTATCATATCTATTAACAGTATAAATTATATCTCACTAAATCTTGCTGATCTTGTTGATTTTTAATATGCTGCTGTAAAGCCTGATGTTGTTGACGCTGTAAAGCTTGTTGTTGCAACTGTTGCAGCTGCTGCTGTTGCAATTGTTGCTGTTGCAACTGTTGAAACTGCTGTAGTTGCTGTTGTTGTTGCTGCTGCTGCTGTATTATTTGCTGTTGAATCTGAGTCGAAAGAAATAATTTTAAAATGATACATCATCACAAAAAAGTACAAGTAAGTATATTTATAGAATAATCAGTATACAAATAAAAAAAATCAAATTACCTGTAATTTATCATCCTCTTCTTTCTGATTCCTGTATCTATATTCTTCAGCTTGATTATGGTTTTCTGGTTCAGATTTAGGTTGCTTTAACTCTGGTGGCCTCCTGTAAGTGCTATTTTGTTTGTCCAAAGCAAGTAACGTATTTGCCGCTTCGTATTTATCTTCAAATGTAATACCCGCTTTTTCAGCGAGTGTTTCTAAGCACTGTAAAGGTCTCTTCACAGGCTTTGATGGAATTTTACTCTTATCAGATTGACCATTCCCTGGTGATTGTTTTGGCACAGTTCTAGTTATAGTAATAGTGTTTTTATTGTTATCATCCTTTTTATCATTTTTGGGTTCTAATGTGAAATAGTTTTTGGGAAAATTATCCTTATCCTTATCACCATTAAGATTGGCGTTCTCAATTAAAGTTATCGTAGTTGAGTTGGCTACTTTTATTGTTTTGTCTTTAAGATCATCCTTTGTTTGTACAGTTTGGGCTGAACCATGAGTAGGGGATAAAAGCTGCTGCGCAGGCACATGCTGAGTCACAGGTGTACTGACATTTTGATCTTGACCATGTAATTTATCTGTAGGCTTAGCAATTTGTGGCTGAAAACTAGGGCTCTGTGGCTCCTTATCTTGGTCTTTTTTCTTTTGAATATTATCTAGGATTTCAGACCTGTAATTATTAAGAACAAAAATTAAGAACTCATATAATTCTAAAGCTAAATTCAACTTATCATTATTTAAGTAACATCTTTACTTATTATATTACATTTCATATTGGCATTTAGATTATGCAACAATTTAAATACCACACACAACATTAACTGGTAAATACAAAAGTAATAACTCATTTTTAATATTATAATTATAAAATGGTTCTTTTAAAAACTCATAAATAATCTTACTTAATAATATCGAAATATGTATAATTGATTGATAAAAACAGAATAGGTCAATATTGACCCTATTTTGATAATCAGTTTTATACTTAATTATTTCAGTCAGGGGAAGGTTGGATGTTTTTTTTTTGTTAATTACCTGTGTATTTTGTTTATTTCTAATAAACAAAATACACAGGTAATTCTTATAGATGTTTAGAACTTAAAACTATGTGAAAGAAACCATAGAAAAACTGTATAGGAAAAAATATACCATGTACCTAATCAGGATTCTTCTGTTATAAAAGTGACAATTTAATATGTTATTATTAACATATGGGTACTGTAATTTTCATTTATTTCTTTTGTTTTTATTTAAATCGTATACAATGCTCTGGAGATGAGCTTAAATAACTTTTTATAAACTAATGTAGTTGTTTACATTTAACATATTATTGTTATAACTTTGTTTTTGGTTTAAATAATTTTTTAATTGTATTATTTAACAGTTTTAACCATATTCTAAATTGAAAGATCTACATTGTTTATTTACAATTACAAATTGAATTAAAATTCAGTGAAAAAAATAACATCTTACAATATCATACCTATATAATAATTATATCTTAAAACACAATTGAAAACATACCAATTAAAAATCTTAAAATGTGTTGGGAAGGGCATTGTCATTTATTAAATAATTTTGTTATGTTTGCAATTAAATAGTTATTTTTTGTCCTTTAATTCCATTTTTGTCCCAACATAGATCTCTGTCTCATCTCTCCATAATACACATTGATTTTCCCTAACTGTGTATCATTAAGAAGTAAGTAAAGATATAATTCTGTGGTATACCTACAGGTATTGAAATAAAAACATACATTTTTCATGTTTGGTTAGGAACCTTAAAATATTTTAAAGTAATCATTTTACAATATGTTTATACTTGTAACATACTGAAAATGGTTTTGTTCTTATTAATTAGTTTTGAACAAATATAAAACATATGATATGGTAGGGGATAGTTAGTAATATGGATTAGTATCCTGATTCAAACCATGTTGACCTTTATGCAATTTCCTGGAAACCATCATGGTAAATTCCTGGTGAAATTGCTATGATGGGCTAACTGACCTGACCCTATGCTTATCTTATCGTCCTCCGCTGACGCCCGCGGTAAATCGTTAGAGCACACGGGCGCAACATTTCATAATCATAAATAAGAGAAATTCATTATGATCTGATTGTATTAGTCATAGGCGTATAAGCAGGACCCACGCTATTTATTACAAATACATACACAACTATGCTCATTAGAAAATGTTGTGTAATACAGTAATTTTTAGTTTAATGTATTTTGTAACTGAAAATTCCCTCAAGTTTGATACTGTTATTAGTAATTATAATTAATATAAATCTTGTATGGTGCTAACAAACCTATAACCATGATCCACCAGGGCATCCATGATAAATGTTGTAATAGATTTCGTTAATTAAAGACAAGCACAACTACTCAAACAATAAATTATGGACAAAACAAACAAATTATTTAAAAATTCATTAAAATTGTATGAGAACAATTTTGATATTATAATTGCTAGAAATTATTTCACGAAGTTAGCTTGAAAATAAATTAAACAAATAGTAGTATTCATTAATGGTTAAAAAACTATTAACAAAAACAAAGAAACAAACGAAATTTTTACCAGTCGGTATTTAACTTTTTTTTCTTTAGTTTAATGGTTTGACACATTGGTGCATATACCAAAGACAATTTGGGAAATGGAATATTATACTATGTGCGCTGTAGCATGGTGTGGGTGACAGTTCCTAATTCTAAATTTGACATTTAAGTGAATACAGTTATTAATGATTTAATGATATATTACGAATGTGGTACAGCTGAAATTTGTAAATCGCGGCAACTTTTAACAGTGAAATGAAACATGCTACACCATGCTACAGCGCACATGAATAGTAAAAAAAATTGTGGAAACGGAATTTACAACAAAGAATTGATAGAATTATAAGAATAGGTCTTAGGCATTAGAACTGGGAGACGAAAATATGTAATTTTTGTTAATATTAATGATATGGAACAGAAGATATATTTATAGGTACATACACCTGTACTTAATTATGATACCTATTATAATAAATTATTATGTACATTTTCAGTTTTATATTTCTGTTCATCAAAAATAAAAATTTGCTTTGTAAACATCCAAATTATTTAAATATTTGAAATAATGAAGTAGAAATAGATTTAACTGTTGCTGAAGATAAATTACTCATCTCTTATACGTTAGACTGTATAGAGGTCGATAGTACTTGGCAGGTATGTTCTGTCATAGAAGAAGGACCTGGTGTACAGAATGAAGGCATATTAGTATGGCTGCTATGGCTGGCATCAAATTTTGTAGCAAACTGTGAAATATTACCTTTTTATTATAAGGGTTAAAGCGGATAACTTATCCGCTTTGCCCAAAACGTGTATTTCTAAGCATACCTACTTTTCTTAATATTTCAATACAGGGTCAATATAATATTAATATCACAAATAATACTAAATACATTGTTAATCTGCTAAACTAAATTATTCCTCTATTTTTCTTACGATTTTCGATCAGGTTTATTCTCATTTCATTTGTTTTTACTGTTATTATAACAGAACACTCAATACAATCTTTTTGTCACTAGAAGAAACGAATTGCACCAATTGTTTTGAATCAACTGTCATGGCGTAGTCAGACGGGTCACTTATCTATGTAGCCGCAACTTGTAACACCATATCTTAATGTTTTTCAGAAACATCACTTATTCGCTTTACCTGGGTTATTCGCTATGCCCGGGCTTCCCCTAGTTTAAAAAAAGTATTCGTAAGTTATTCTCTCAATTATCTCAATATTCTAATGATATATTTGAAATAAAATTTAGAAAAAAACAAATAATTACTGTTAGAAAAGTAGTGATCAAGAAGCAGATAAATGTCCGATAGATACTGCAAAAATGAGTGCTTATGTCAATTTTTTTACGATAAAATGTTTATCTTTTCTTTTAGTTTTATTGGAACGGAGTATGTAGGAATCCGGTAGAAAAGGAGAGCATAAGAAATCAGTGAATGATCATAAACAGGTTATATAACAACTTGAAATAAAATGATTTAATCAATGAAAGTTGTCACAGTCAGGAGTAAACATCATGTAGGTATGTATCAAAGATGTATTCCTATAAAAACGTTTTTTTTTCAATGCATCAGAAGATTTATATGTAGAATTATTATGCAATGTAGGTATAGATTTTCAATTACACTTTTATTTATTTAAATAAAAGTATGTTCACACACATATATACAAGTATTCATATTCGCACGTAATAATACCTAGACTAAAAATGTTAAGAAGCCGTGTTTGTACTTTAATATTTAGAAATAGGTAATATCATCTGAACACTGGTATAGGTACTTGCCTATACCGAAGTACCTAATATAGTAGTATTTCTGATTTCTATGTTAGGGAATCTAAGTATTGACCGATTTGAATGATAATGGTTTTGATAAAACAAGTTTCCCCTAACATTTTGTGTTTGTATGTTCACAAAGAGAAAAGCAGCCCATTGTTATTACCTATAAGCCGTGTAGGAACAAAATCGTTGTTAGTAGGTAATAAGGATTAGTGAGACCCTCTCGCGGTTCCCCCAGGAAATAGTCGCGGTTAATACCTAATCGCCGCCACGGTGAGCTAATTGAAATTGACTTCATTTTCCTCTTCGACTAATGCTCCACAAGCGCGGATCTAACGTTAGCATGAGTTGAAGCACTATTCTGTCAGGTTTTCCTAAAAAAACTACAAACAACTATGGGTACGACTGGATGGTGAATTCGTGACTATTTCTATAAGATAAGAGTACTTACCAACTTAATCCTTTTTTAATAAGTTTACTTGTAAACTTAATTCATTAAACCACTTACCTGCAGTAAACTACCTACATTGAAATAAGGAAATTTCAAGATTGAGAACAAATTTTCATAACTTTATAAGAGGCTGAGTAGGTATGTGCCTACTTATTATAATTTAAACTTGGTCATGGGTTAAGTAAAGATGATTTTCTTATGTTGGTACCTATTTTATAATAATAACCAGGGACAATTCACGTAGCCCCATCTAGTCACATGCTTAGTAGAGCTTGTGTGTATTAGATAAAGTTTATTCTTTATTTCCGGTTAAAAATTTTTGTTACTTTCCAGATTTTCTAATCACTCTTCTATATTATTTTTAGAGCTCTCGTTTTTGATATATCTACTATTACTACCTCTTTTCCTTCATAATTATTGTGTAGAAAGTGTACGGATTAACCGTGAACATTTTAGCTTAAGATTATTAAAGGCATTCGTAATACGTCAATTGAACTCGTTTATGTGTTTAGTTTTGTAAATGTTCTATACTATTAATTTAATAATAAGCTAACAACCTATGTATATACTCAGAGCGTATATGAAGTACTTGCGTTCTAGTTCTACTTACGTTCTTCTAGACATGAACAATTCATAAGTTATCAATAATGAATATGTAATGTGACAGTAATTATGAATAATGGCACACAAAGAAAAGTTATTGTACAGAACAGGATATTACAAACCCCTAAGAGCAATATAAAGTTTTTCTTTTCTTATAATTCTGGACCAAGGTGTTGACAATTAGTGCCATACCTACCTACGCTATTTTCTTACCTAAGAACAATATTTAACGAATAGTTCTTAGAGCCATTATAAAAAAATAAAACAAAGAATTAATTAAGTCGCAAATTAGACGCAAAGTTAATACATTAACTTGTCAGCAAGACGTCAAATTTAATATCTATACATATAAATAAAATTGGAGTGTCCGTTCTTAATAATGAAATAACCGTTTTTTACTACATGCATATGAATATAAATTCGTTAGGTACATGCACCACAATTAATTTTTTTTTAATATTTGTCTGTCTGTTTGCTCCGCCTAATCTCTGAAATGGCTGGGCCGATATTAACGGGACTTTTTTTTTTTAAATAAGGAGTAACTTGAGCTACTTTTATTTAGAAAAATAAAGTTAATGTCCACGTGGACTAAGTAGCGAGTACAGCTAGTTAAAAATAAATTTAAGATTGAACACTGCAATTTTTAATAAAGCAGCTTATAAGTTTTGTATTATGAAACATGTGCATTAATTATTTGTATTATAAAGCATCCTTTAAGCTAGGTCCCAATTTACTTAAATATATATTGGAGAAAATCAGGGCACATATTATTATGTTATACCTATGAAGTATTTATACATAGTCATCGAAAAAAGTTCAAGAACGAAAGTTGCACGTCCAACCGGTCTGAGAGCACTTGAAGAACTAATTTAACTTCAGGGTTGACAATATTAAAAGCGTCGCAGGAAAAATTAAAAAATATCGTATATAAATCCAACTTCACTTGTAAATCATAGTATTGTCACTGATTTTCGTAGGTCTATCTATCTATCTAGCATAAATGAAAGCAATGAATATCCCGTATCAGTATCCATATATGATTAACTTTAAAGCATTTGAGCCGTCGATCGTACCAAGTAACGAATATTTTATTAGATTCAATTTTGTTATTGTGTTAAGACACCGTCCTTTGCTACGAGAAAAAAAAATTAAACTCTTCTTAGAATTAACAAATGCTAAGAATTTTTAATAAGTGATTACATTGCCATTGCCTTATGGCAAATAAATAAAAAAAATGTTTTTAACACCAAGCTTGTCGCGCTAATTTAATCGGATGACTGTGTTCAAATCAATTGCACTTCGTTAGTCTCGTTACAATGTTAAAAAGTTTAGAATATTTTTTTATTCGATATATGTAGGTAGGTACCTAATAACTACAGAGTTGGCTTATTGCAACAAAAATATTATGTTGCCTTACATTAATAATAATAGTAATAGAATAGGGCATAACCGGCTAGTACAGGGTAGTAGGTATTACGTAAAACCGGTTAGTATAAAATATAACAGACGAGAAGTGTAGGAGAGAAAGAATAGGATGAGATTTTGAAATTCTAAAGATGAAATTGAGTGATAGCAATTAAATGCTTCACTGTTCATTAAAATTACGAGATGAAGGCAAACTATCGTCTAAGTCCATCAAAATTTATAATAAGTCTATGTGGTAGGTAGGTGTAACGAAATTCACAATGTCATTCATACATTCACATATCACTAGACGTTTGTGTGTGGAATTCTCACAGAACTTTTTTTTACAAAAAGACCTTACATACCTACTACATGCAACAATATGGAAATAGTACCCACTATTTCCATATTCTACCAAAGGTAATGACAGAAACATTACAATAACGCTATTGTAATGTTTCTGTCATTAACTTTGGTAGAAGGGTGTTAGATACATATTTCCAAATTAGAAACTAACATTTATAATATCGGTATTAACTACATAGGTATATACATATGTTTTCACACTATTGTAATATGAAGCCTTATGAAGATAAAATATATTATTTGGAAATTGTCAAAGACAATTATTAGATATTTTGTAAATAATCAACAGTTAGTTAATTTATTTATGTACTCAACTTATTTCAGCCTATTTATAAGAACGAACACAACGATGCTGCCTTAAACAAAGTAATAACTGTTCGGGAAGAAAACTTGTTTAAATGTTGGTTGTCTATGTTGTTGAAATACCAGGGTATAAGGACTTGACAGACATAAATTTTTACTGTAGGTACTTGTAACATTTAACGCATCACGTTGGAGTACCTAAACATTTCAATAGACAATCTTGCAGTTGTAGAACGTAGGTATAGGATTTTCCACCGAAATACGTGAGAAGTGTCACCCATCATCGAATCTGACTGCTACGAGAAGGAGATTATTAGTAATGTGAACTAATAATCCCATTGCTAGAAATGTGCCATGCCAGGTTGAGTTCCACGCGGTTCTATCTGGAAACTGACATGGTAAATTGACATTTGCCAAGGTGGGCTATGGAACTCATGCTGATTTTATCATCCTCCACTGGTACCCCGCCAACGTATACTGTTAACGCATGCGGGAGCATCATCCCATTATTATTCAAAAAACCATAACCGGCAGCAGTACACACAAGATACGTACGTTAATAATTGTCCCACGTCTCGAGTCATTGTATCTCTTGTGCTCATTTCTCGGTAAGGTCTAAGTTGCTGACGTGTACACAGAACACTTTACCTTCTATAATAAATATAATTAGAAAGTACCAGCCTTTACATCGTTAAGTAGATATAGTTTTAGTAGATATAAACGTAGTGGCTGCAAGTAATTGTATATGTAGTGTAAGTAATTCGTTTATGTAGTCTTTCTATTTGTTTAGTAATTATATTAATTTAACAAATAAATAGAAAGACTACATACACGAATAACAAATAAAGTCAGTAAAGTAAAGAGTAAAAAGTGAGATCAATGGGGTAGGGTGGCGGCTAACGGGTAGCGAAGGGAAGTGTTCATTCAGCGCCTTAGTATCGTGAAAGAGGCCTGTTTAGCTGTGGTGTGTTACAAATTAAATTAATAATATAAATACTCTTCTATTTTTACAAAAAATAAACACTGAAAATAATAACGAAAAAAATATGTTCGAGCTCAATATTCAATTTTTCGCGCGCTTCTAACGACTACAGACTGTGTGGATCTGTCATCCGCAGCGTATTATTATGCGCAGAGTATAGTAAGTGACACCTAATAGGTGTATTGTTTTATGGATGACGTACATAATATAATGTATAGGTATATTGTTATTTTAAGTTTGTTAGAAATCATATGAAACTTAGACAGAATAGGAATAGTTACTTAATTCAATAAATTGTTGCATTATCCAAATACGTAACTATTACTTCATTACTTAAATCTATAGATAGCACTAAAGTCATTGCTAATGTCATTATGAATTATCATAATTATATACTACACTACACATCTGAGTGTCTAGTTGTGTATAAGTAGATCTAAACCAGCATATTAGTAATTATTAACCATAGGTAGTATTAGCAATATAAAATTCCTAACTTTAGTAAATATATCAAAACAAGCATATTAGTACAAAGGAACAAAGTTAGTTCGTTTTAATCATAATAAATCCATGCTCACTTTCTTTGGATATACTTACCGTCTATTTAAAACTATATATACAAAAGTTATACACCTATTCTAAAGATACCTAAATACAAACAGCTCGTCTGACATTATTTCACAAGGGGAAGCAAAAAAATAATGAAAACGTGCGACAGAGATGGCATTATGCGGTCGCGTGTGGCGTGTAAAGGAGACGTCTGAAGCCCACTAGGGGAGTCAGAGCGCGAACCGGTTCTGCATGTGTGCAGACAGACGGCGCCCTCCCTCCCCTCGGCTGTCGACCCTCGGGTGCGAGGGCCCCACATTGTCGGCTTTTCCCCGAAGCGTTGCAATAATAATACTAACAAAGCCCTAAGCTGCTGGGCTACACCAATATGACTCAATGGAATAAATAAAATACCATAGTTATATGCTGTTGGTTAATATATAGTATCAAATAGCACTTCATTCCTCAAAGTTGAGTCCTTTCTCTTTCACTAATAGTCATTTCAAGTATATTGGCACTAAAACTGTGATCTACTGGATACATAACACCTCATCCACCATGCTTAGCCACACGCGACACACATCTAACCACATCAGATCGCGGTGGTAAAGTAAAAAAGAACATAAAATACCTTTTGGTGTAAAAACCATAAGAACAACGTTCCATCGTTTCAAAATAAAAGGTTAACTGAAACGTAAGCGCCGTCCCATGCGGCAATGATTAAAAGAAAAAACAAACAAAAAGGTAAGGATCGAGACATTCGCACGGGAGAAAGTAAACACAACACTTATTATCGACGAAAACGACATACAAACACACTTTATCGACAGTCCGATGCCCGTCTCATTGTAACAATAACCTTCTTTGCGAGTGGCAAAACACGACTGTGTGAAGAGCGCGCGTTGCCAGCGCGCCGCACCCATACCCCGCATCGCAAACGTTCTCCATCGCGTGTCGCCAATGGTACGCCCGCTGCCAACCGGGGCCTCTCATTGGTCGATTCATTTTACGACCGTTCCACAAACAAAACCGGTTGCCAAGAACGGCACGAAAGGGCGCGAGGAACAAAATTAGCGTTTCTGCGATTATTATTATTGCTACTATATCTTTCTCTTACTAACTTTAAGTGTGAACTGAAAAGGAAGATCTAAAATATTGCTCTCTGTCAGAGTCGGACGTCGTACGGCACCTTTCCTTTCTGTCGACCGTTTTGGACCTATATAATAGAAAGACAAGAATTATCTATATGTATAGGTAGGTAAAATTAAGTAGGTACCTAGACTATTTGATGGGTGCTGCAATCGTCTCCTATCTTATAAATATAAGTATGTACGTATATATTTATTCACATTTATTTATCTTTCATAATTATTTATTTATACTTACTTAAAATTTTAGTACTTACACATAATATATTTACAAATAATATGATTAGGTATACCTAATATATTGCCATAAGAATACTAATTATTCTTACTTTTATCCTATCTAAGAATGCACGTAAGTGTAAAAGGGTCTGTACCTACCTATAGATGCGTACAAAATATTCAGTGGTTAGCCAGGCAGCAATTCGTCTGTATGGCTTCCCTAACCCACCCTAATGGTATGGCTTTGATAGGGTGGTTATTTCCCCTCTAATCTGAACTGCGTGATTAAACCGTCCCTACCTACTTATAATAATGCCATACAATATCTACATAAATAAAAATGAAAATTGTTATGTTGCAGTGTTTACCTACTATAAATGGCTAAGAAAAAATAAAATAATAATAAATTGTGTTTCTAAAATATTTTTTGCCTGATTTGGTAGATACATATTTTCCAATTTGGAAGTCTCTAGCACCTGTGTACCTCGTTTATAAGATATCTGGGAGAGTTTTATATAGAACTCGGTACCTATGACTCTTACTTTAAAATTACTATATTATTATGTTTATAAAAATCACAATATATATATATGTCGTAACTATATCTAAAAGTATTTTGTAGGATGTTGAAAGTTATATAGCGCCATCTAACGTCATTTGACAACATTTTTAAGATGATGCTAACAGCGCCATCTACAAAGATAAGTATTAAATTAAAAGAAGTGCAGTCCCCCATATGTAAAAGTAAGTAACTTTTTTTAATATTAATTTTACGACACTGGATGCAGAGTATGTATGCACTGCATGACTTGAATATTATTTCTGAATAGTTCTTGCATAATCCGCGTGGTGACTGGTGACAGTGACAGAGTAAGAAAATAAAGTGTCACCATTACTTTTCATCTTTTATTATGATGTATTTATCTCTAATAAATTTTATTTAAAGGGATATATCTACATATAGTTCATCTATACACAACAAAATGTTTTTTTTAAACAATTTATGTGGAAATGTTATACAGAACCTACTATTTATTATTGACTAAATATTTTCTCAGCAGTAAAAATAGGTACCTACAGAGTAAGTACATATATCCACTTTCTAATGTTAGTGTCAAATAGGTCGTATCGTCTAGAATGGGTAACATTAGCATAAAGGGGTGCAAATTCTATTTTATGCAATGTATCTACCACAGCACTTAAGTTGCCAGACAAGACAGTACCTATCTATCTACCTGTTACTGTAAAGCAATAGAATTAATATTTCTTTTCTATACCTAGGTACATAGACGACTTTTGTGATGATTATGGTAAGTTAAAGAAGTAAGTAGGTTCATAATAGATAAAGCAGTTTAGGTAGGTACATATTATTGGCTATAGTCACCTACCAAGTTATGAAAATTACCCATTAGTGGTTTACGATTATACCTAACCACAAACTGCGAGAGAATGTCTATGACTGAAGCTTGGAAAACTTAATATATGTATGATCTATGACTGACAAATATTTAAATATCTACTTAGTCCGTGCAATCGTTACTGTACATCAGGTCCTAAACACTCGATTTTATACATAGACTAGCTGTACCCGCCACTTCATCCGCGTGGAATTTAACAAAAAAGTTAATTAGAGATTTGTTCTAAAATAAAAGTAAAGTAGCCTAAGTTACTTCTTATTACGTCAGCTACCTGCTAAAAAAGTCCTGTCAAAATCAGTCCAGTCATATCAGAAATTAGCCGGAAAAAACAGACGGACAGACAGACAGACAAAGATTGTAAAAAATATTATTTTGGTGTATTTAGGTACCATGTTTATATTCATATGCATGTAGTAAAAAACGGTTATTTCAATATTACAAACAGACACTCCAATTTGATTTGTATCTATATATTTGACATGTCTTAAGAGACTAATAGATGTAGATACATGTAGATATAAAGATATAAAAGTTCATTTAATTGTTAACTTTTAAAAATACGTAAGAAATTCAGTAGAGTTTTATCTCTTTTCGTGAACTTGAGACTTCGTAGATATCACGTGAACAGTCCCTGTCTAATAGGTAGGTACTTCTACTTTCAAGAAAGTACCTGCATTCCATAAACTCTATTAAATACAAAAACCTCCAAACCACTTGTAAGAATAGTTCAGTACCCCACTACCTAAGGCAAAACCCCAAAATCATAGTTTAATGAACAGAAAACCATCGAGTCAGGTATTATATGTATCTAATGAAAACTTACAGGCTGCACTACAGTGATCGAACAAATTAATTTAAAGGTCCATATAGAGTATTCATACTCTACCTACTATTTATTGGTGGTTCTCCCCGAGAGAACCGCGTGCAGGGTAATCGCACATAGTATTATGTAGTGGAGGCATTAGTCGATATTACTAACTATCCTTTTCTCGTTGGAGTTATACCTTATAAGAAAAGGAGAGAAATATTTAAAAAAATGTGCAGAATTACGATGAATGTAATAGCCGTAATATTACAGACTTAAAAAACAATATTACGATACCTACACGATTTTCTAAGACCAATTAGTACAATGACATGAATGAGGGTGATCCTACAAACAACTGAAAATCAGCACTGGCAACTATGTTTCCAGCATTATGATGAGTTATGGTATCCATTAACTCTGTGTTGTAATGTGTGTAAAGTTTTGTTTAATTTTTTATCTCGTTATTGTTGTGTTGGACTGAATAAATTCTATTCTATTCTACGTATTGTACAGGTGTGGTTGTTGAAATAAACTGAAACATTGGTAAATACTTATATAGTACCTACCTATGCGTGAGATTTGATTAAAGCGTAAAGTAAAAATATTAAATTTCAACCATATTATAAGGAAAAAGCAGGTACGCTAGTAGTCCGTTGTCTAGCATGGGATCAGCATGTTTCTTAGTTTTTAAATTATCTTGAACCTTATTCCTTTCAGTTACAGTTCATCTTTATACGACACAAGCGTACGTGTTTGCAGAAATTATCCTTAATCAACCCCTTATGTTACGAGGGCGAATCAAATGTAAACAGGATTTTACAATTATGTTTCCCTGTTAATTACAATGTCAGTGTATCTTTTATATTTTATAAATTAAAATAGCAAACACCATGGCACACTTAATTAAAAATGGCAAACGTGGTCTATATCTATCTATATGTAGCACTACGGTGAGATACTTTATGAATTACCAAAACAAAGGAAAGTACCTAAGTGGTCTCAGTGCTCCGTATTCTGTTAATTCTTAGGATAATTATATATTATATTATACATATTTTCATAGTACTATACCCTACAGTGAAAACTTCTATTAAAAACTTCCCCTGTATCAAATCGCAGTGGGAGCGTAAGAATTAAAATAAATCTAAATATATACGTATAAAAAAAAGAAAAAACTGTGAAACAAATAAAAGTAAAAAAACTGCTTTCTACGCCTTCTTTAGACCGAAATGCTGCTAATGAATGCAAAATGCTTGAATGCCGAAATGAGTAGGTGTACCGTGTACGCAGACAACTTCCTAAAAAGTCTATCTACCTCGCTAGCTCGATTTAAGGGGGTCTTCCTATGTGACGGCCTGTTTTTTAGGGATATTTTAGGATTTTTTTTCTACGACCAGTAAATATTTAGAGCTTCAAGTTTTTTATCATTTATTAACACATATTTGGACAGTATAAATATAAAATTTCAGCTAAAAATATTCAGTCAAACTAGAGTTACAGCGCTCTGAACACCCCCGCCTCGAAAAAAAGAGCTCCCACTTCCTCCACGATTCCGGCTGATCGGCTTATCTGAAAAAAAAAAAAATTAATTAATTTGTAGGCTTAAAAGCACGGAATGACCTATAATCAAATGAATATAAAAAAAATTGGATTTTTGATAGACATTTGAAATAAAAGTTGCAAATTAGGCGTTTTTTTTTTTTTTTTTTGCTATAATAAAATCGAAGTTTTGAAAATTTTCGATTGATAATAGTTCATTCCATGCGTTTACATATATTGAGTGTGCCCTGTAAATTTCAAGTAATTCGGTCCAGCCGTTTCTGAGATACAATGGAGGAAAGTTTGAAAAACACAGTTTTGAGAAAAACGCGTTTAAAGTTTCAAGTCCGTTAAAAACTATTAAAATATCAACTTACTCTCAATCGGCGATGCCTGGTCCATAGAGTATTCCTTCCTCTTCCTCGTGAAACTCTTTTAAAGCAGATTGTTCAGCTCTTGAGTCAATCCTGGCTTGTTTAACGACATCACTTACGCGCCGCTCAGAGCGTAAGATTCGCTTTTCATCCCGTTTCTCAACATACGCTTGGGCTTCACGACCAACAGGGCATCCCATAATCGACATAACTTTTAAAATACC